TTACGTGCTCTTGAAGCTCGTCACAATTTTCTTAGTGCATGACATTTTGGATATAATAAAACTTTGGAGCTTTTATCTTGAGATTTTTAGTGGCCTCAAATGTGGAGGGTTGTTAAAAAATTTGTACAGACATGTGATGTTTATTCAAGATCAAAAACTCTTCATCATTGATCTTATAGACTCTTTCAACTATTACCTATACTAGAACAACCATGGTCTTCTGTCTCTATGGATTTTATCACGAGTCTTTCAATTTCAAGTTCATATGATTCCATATTCATGATTTTAGATTATTTCACTAAGATGACATATTTTGTACCATGTACAAAATCTATCACATGTGAAGGAATAGCTAAACTTTTTTTTGACAATATCTATTGTTATCATGGATTACCAAGGGATATTATATCAAATAGATGAATACAATTTTTTTTTGAGATTTTAAAAAACTCTTTTTAAGATATTGAAGATGGATATAAAACTATCTTCAGTTTTCCATCCTCAAAGTGATCGACAAAAAAAATAGATAAATCAAGTTTTAGAGCAGTATTTGAGATGTATCATCAACTATCAATAAGATGATTGGACAACTCTTTTGCCATTAGCACAGTTTGCTTACAATAATTTGATATATTCTTTTATTGAACAAATCCCTTTCTTTACCAATTATGGTTATCCTCCACAATTTGACACTTTTGACTTTCAAAAGTTGATAATCTTGTGGCAAAAGATGTAGCAAATTGATTGTCAAAGCTACATATAAAATGAAGGCACAATTAAAAGAAACTCAAAAATAACAAAAAGCCAATGTAGATGTCTAATGCAAGGAACAACCTCAATTCCATGTGAAGGATAAAGTATGGTTACTTTGCCATAATATTAAAACTATTTGTCCTTATAATAAGTTGGATTATTGTAGGCTTGAACCATTTTCCATTTATGAATAGGTTAATCTAGTTGCTTATTGATTATGTCTATTGGAGTCTATGAAAATCCATCTTGTGTTCCATGTGTCTTTAGTAGAGCCATACAAGACAATGGATATATAAAGAAGGAAACAAATGCCACCACTTCCTATGAAAGTGATAATAATGAAGAATTTGAGGTAGAAGAAGTCTTAAATTTAAGGCGGCGTCTAAAGATATTAGAATATTTGGTACATTGGCATAGATATGACATTAATGAATGCACATGAGAGCCATCTAGGAATCTAGCAAATGCAACAATTAAAATTAAAGCTTTTCATCAACAACATCCATCAAAATCAAGATGAAGAGCCAAGAAATTCTTTGCTATAAAGCAAAGCAATCCCAATGGAGATTTCATTCTATCTTATATCATTATTTCTTTTGATTTTTTTAATTCTTAAGAGATATAGAACCAACAACTAGCAGATTCAACTCAAGAGCTATCATTTGTTGAGCTACTAGATGAGATATTGCAACTATCATAACCTTTGAGATAACAAAATCGAGATAAAGATCTTTAAGAATGATATGTTTTTCTTCGAATAGATGGCGAGATACAACGTGTTTGGTACCACAAATCTAGAAGAAACTCCAAGTATTTAGTGATACTTTTGGAAGTAGGAACCACTTTTGATGGTATTACTAATGTTTTGTTTGAAGGAAGTTATAAAGGCCTCAATAATGATCAAATATCAGGGTAGTCTTCTCACTTTAGTATGGGACATTATCGATGGTTGAAGGGACAAATCAACTATCTTCAAATCGAAGAAAGATCAAAGTACGTGGCAAATACAATTCGGCGCATCTTGGACTTCATCAACATGTAATCACCATTCCTTGTAGAACTCGTCTTTAGAAGGGAAGATAATATCACGGACATACATATTTATCCTAATAATTATCTACATAATAAGAATAGGTAGAAATAAGTCAAAGTAAATAAATATGATAATATCTTATGAAAAGCTTCCTAGAAGCTTTATAGATGTTGCTTTGTCTTTATATATGTCTATATGTGATTGGTAGGTTGAAAACTTGGCCAACAAAGAGGCTACGTGTCGACATGTTGACCTCTTGTAGTAAAAGTTGGACATATGGCACACACCTAGGAAACTTGCCTTATAAATTAGACATGTGTCTTGTAAGTTGGAAGTGTATTAGAGGTCCTATAATATGTCGCCACATATTTCTTAATTAAGTAGTATATATAGAGGCAAGAGTGAGGCCTTCCTCACTCTTATCAACTCCTTTCTTGCTATTAGTCTAGTTTCAAGAGTCTTATGTTTTCTAGTCATTGGCAATAGTTATTCAAATTCTTCCTTGAATATACATACTTTCTTCTATTTTGTCACTTTTCTTTTGACACAAATTTCATAAATTTATATATCTTCTTCCAACTTGTGTTCTTAACAATCCTATAGAATTTTCATAGAGAGACAAAACCAAGATAAGATGCTTATACAATCAAAGATATTATAAGCTTCTTATACTTGAATTGGTGTAATTCTAAACCTTGAAGAGCCAAAAGATGCCAAATTTAGATAAATAATCTAATTATTAATATATTTATTTTTTTATATATCATTTTTTAATTGTAGTTTTGTAATTGATTTTTTTTAGTCTCAATTGATTTGGTCTTAGAATCTACCTACAACTCACCATGTGGTTGTTATAGGTTTGTGAGATGTTTTGTTTTTGTGATTTTGAAAGCATATCTTTGCTATTAATGTTCCTATATTGAAAGAATAATCAACTATTCTTTTTATTATTATTGTTGAAAATGATAGTTTCAATCAAATCCAATAAATTAGGTTCTTTATATATTATCATAATTGTTTGCATATTGCAAGGGATATTAAATAAACTATAAGATCTATCTTATTTTTATTGTAGATTTTATTTTATATAGAAGTGTGTTATCTTTAGATAGTAGTATTCATACATTTTTTATTGTGTAGCTATATAAATCTTTCATAAGCTTTATCATATAGCTCCATGCATTATATTCCTATACAATCTAAGGAATTGAGAGAAAAGCAAAAAATCTAAATCTTTGATTATCATATGATACCAAGTAATTGATGTGCTCTAGAAACCTTCAGATAATATTATCAAATTCTAGAGATTATAAACATTTTTTTGTAAAAAGATTTCATTGGCTTAAATCATGAATGATTTTCATCAAATATTTCTAAGGGATGTATATGGACAAACATACCAACAATCAAAGAATGTTGTAAATCTAAAAATTTAGGATATTAGAAGCATTGGTAGACTATGTAAGATATATTACTTTTTGGCTCTTAGCTTAATTGCATTGACAATGATATTTTAACCAATTCTCAATGGTTTTGGAATTCAGATTTTGTTTTAATATCATGTGTATGTTGCAATTGCCATACAAGTCGACTGCTTACCAAAGTCCACGTTTTTTATTATGCTTAGACACCATACTAAATAACATGGTGTTGTTTAATTAAGATATGTACACCAAGTTGTTGTCAAAGGTTCCAAAGTTCAAGCTAGTGATCCCTTCCATATTGTCTAACCATTTGTAGATAATCATTTAATGGAGTTAATGTGCAAAGATGAATGTATGTTGTGCAATAGAGGAGTTTAAGGAATATTTTTCATAACAACATGACGAGTTTAGCTAATGGGATCTCTTATATACAATAACTTAGGAGGGAGACATATACATGGAATAAACAAGACAAAAACCTCTATAGTTGGTTGAATGCATCATTGTTTTCATCAAAAGTGAAACAAAAGTTTTTAGATTTACATGAAAGTGAAACAAAAGTTATAGATTTACATGGCCTTAATAGCACATATGATTCAGTTCTACCTCAAAATGATCTCTGTTCTTGAGATCATTCTACTTTGTTGCGGAGTTTGTGCTCACTTCCGAAATTGAACAAGTTGAATGTATCCTATATAAATATGAGACATGGTGCCCACTGGGTTTTCCTTTTTGCCATCAATTTTAGATCATTGTGGATTCGCAGTATGATATCCACAGAGGTTTTTTTTTTTTTTTTTTTTTTTTTTTCGCAAGGTACTGGTTGAAAGGGTCAGTGCAGTCGATTTGAGACGCTTGCTCTCCTTCGTGGCCATTGGTCCTTTTATGAGTGGAGCAGGTTTGCACCACTGGATACTGCTATTCTCTCTTCTGTATCCCGATGTTTCCAATGATTCCGTGTCCAAGCTGCGGCAGAGGACGAGGACAGACACACCAGAGGGGAAAGATGTTTCGAGCCCGGTGTCTAGCCCTTTTGTATCTGAATCACCCACCAGCCATGTCTTGACTTCAAGAGTGCAACCTCAGCAGCAAGAAGTGCAACACCAAGCGATGTGGACGAAGAGCAATCCTCGCTTGGATTTTACAATGGTGCATGGCCTTATGGTTGCAGCATTGGTTGGAGCGGTGCAGGACCGATTCATGGCACTCCTGCGATGTGTAGCCCGCTTTCGGCCTCCTTGAGAACCACTTCTCCACCCTCGGGAATGTGTGGACTGGTTTATGGGCATCGGGGATGCCTCGGATGCTGCAGGGGATGGCTGGTATGTCTGGAATGTCTGGCGTTTCGGCCTACCCGTTTGGGGGGAACATGTGCCCAGGTGGGTGGACGTTGCCATGGCGGCCTGTGCTTGCCGTTGCAGTGCAAGGTTCTGCTGATGTTGTGGTGGTAAATTCTGGGAGCATTCGCAAGAGGGACGGTGCCAACGATGAAGGTGTGAGGAAGATGGCGAGGATAGGGAGTCCGGAAGAGGTTGTGGTGTGATCTTTGCATTCTTTGCAGTTAAGGTTGGAGTCTGGAAAGGCCAAAACAGTCCCACTTCATCATCGTTCATCCCACGAACATCCTCCCTGTCTCAGGCTTCACTGCACGAAACGCCGATCCATCCATCCACTCACGCACGGCCAACAGTGTGGAAGCTTAATTGGGGGGAATAGAACTACTCAAGAAGCCAACAACGGTTATTGTAATCCACTCCCTGACAGCTAAGTTCAGTTTGAGACAGCATTGCTTAGTCAGTTTGAAACAATAATGAATAGTCAGATAGCTTACAACATACACAAGATTCAATTTTCCGTGACAACAGCACGAGTTGCACGAGTTCAACTAATCTATTGTGCAAGTTTTGAAGATTAAGAAATGACAGAAACTTGTTGCTGTAACTCGCTAGTGCTGGTAAGAGCTTCAACCCTGAGTATCGCACTGAAAAGCAGAGTGCGAGTGATGAGCCTATCAATTTGGGAGCTTTCTAACTACTGACGAAGATCAGCGGTGTCGGTATGGACAATACAAAGTCGAGAAGCGTAAAAAAAATAGCCTACCAGTTAAATGATGAAATGTAAGCAAGCCGGTCCCTGGTGACAAACTAAATAGGAACGGCTCAAGGGACAATTGACAACCCTGAAATAATGGATTAAAACCTGAAAGCCTCTATGAAATGGACACCTAAATGTAACAAATGTTGGAATCGGCAACTGAGAAACCGCCGAGGGCACTAATGTACAAAATTAACCTAACCAACTGAGAGTCTCTATCTATCGATGGCATTCCGATTGGGCAGTAGTTCATCCAATTCTGGTATACGCTTGCATTTGGCAGGGTCTTTAGTATCAATGAGAAGCACATTCTCAAGGCCATTAGAGAAGTCCAAAGGATGCAAAAAGCAAACCCAAGTATTCTGTCTCCGAGAGATGCATAGAGGTGACCATGCGCATGAATAATCGTACGTGAAAAACCCAATGTTACTTCACCGCACCAAAGCGATTGTGCAAGTTTGCCTGCTTCCATTTCGATTGCCTCATCTGCCACAAAGAAAAAGAAAAATCAATATGCGATCCGCGTAAGCGAAAAGAGCTTCCAGATGACAGTCAGGTGCAGAAAAGAAAGATTGCAGGGACGTTCAACCACCGATGGCCACCGTGAGAAGTATAAAAGATCGATCAAAACCCATTAAATATACTTCTGATACAACTTTAAAGGATACGCATTAGCAGGAAAACCAAGTTGATCGAAAGTTACCTGTCCACAACGCTAAGATAGAGCCATTCAGGTCAGAATTGGAAGGGGCCTGTGTGATTCTTCGTGTTCAACGAACCCAAGGAACGAGATCTTAGTCGTGACTCAAAGTTGTTACCAACAGCAAGCCCAGGTGCTTGATTTGATGTCAAGCATCTTCCTAGAAATCCTTTTTTACGAACCGGCTGCAAAAACACATTTCCACAAGCAGGTTATTAGAGGATGAGCAATGGCTTCGCGTGCAATACAGAAATCTACAACTCAATTTTTTGAAAAGCTGTACAAACGTCGTACTTGATGATGAGGAATTCCACAACCAAAACGGACATCCAGACAAGAGTATCATCATAGTAATTTATACACAAAGTGTACCAGGCATGTGCAGTGAAAGAAACATCCATATTTGTCTTTCGCTCGCTTTCGCTGGCTCAGGCTATGGGCCTCTTCCACGATCCTGAGCAAGACGTCAGGAGTCTTTTCGATGTCGAATCCCGAGCTCAAATGACGCTCCAGCCTCGGTCCCGTGTGAAGGTCGATGCTAAATCTTCCGGAGTGATTAATTTCAATGTAGCCATTAAGTCTTGAAGACCCTACTTCCACAATCTCAAGGTTCGAGCTTTTGATATAATGAAAACTTTTCGTGGGGATCCAATCTTGCTCTGGCTGTAAGAAGCCGCTTTCCAAGGAGTAGGTGTGAGAATCGCCACTTGCAACGGACATACATTCATGTAGCTCGTGCAGCTCGAAGTTGGAAGACGAGAATTCTCGGACAATAGGACCAACAGCTCTCGGGATCCCGTTTCGGCCGCCTCGTTGTGAAAATTCCACAGAGCTATTATGTTCGCCAAAAACAAAAGAAGATGCGATCGGTGAAAACGGGAAATCCTCTTCATCCATCTGATGAACCATCTGCTGATGAAAAATGACAACAGCATTGGAATATGGTCACCTACTTAAAATATACAAAATAAATAAGTAAAGCACACTGTCCAGAGTACAATCAGTATGTGAAAACGACATCCTGATATGTGATTGCTTCTACTCTGGCTGCATAAAAAATTGTATAAATTTACCTCTCCAGGCCGATCGTAAGCCTCAAAGCCGAGTTCATCTGAACTAGGCAACGAACAAGACGGCGAGTCCTTCTCCCACTTGTGCCTCCCATGTGCATCTTTGCTACGATCGTATGTTAGTACAGTAGACAAGCTAGCTCCGGTGTGGATTTCTCGTAGTGTCACACCATTCGTTACACCGGAAGAATGCCTCTTAGACCTTGATTTCTTCCCGCCAGATATGACAACCTTTGTGACGGTTGCTTTGGGTTTCGAAACCAATGAGAGGTTCCACGAACTACTGTTCGAGGACCACCTTTCAATAGTCCTACCGCTTTTGGGGGAGGTTGTGCTGCTCTTCGGATGTCTATGTGAGGGCTTTGTAGGCGGTCCTTGATACTGCACGATAGGCCAGTCTACTTGTGGCTCCGATACTTGCACCACTGGCTGCCACAAAGGAGCAGTCGTGCTAGGCTGCTCAAATATAATGTCATCGTCATCAGTTGTGTCATCAGCCATGGCCGTGAGCGACATCAAGCACTGGGCGAGCTGGGAGGAAGGTCGACCCACAGGAATGCTACTTGTATCCTGGGAAGAGGTTCGGGCCTTCGGGGTACTGTTATCTACATACCTCGTGAGCTTAGGATTCCGAGAGGGGTACAGCCTTTCTGACTGCGATGAAGGGGAAGCTTCGGATTCGTGGTGGTCGAGTGTACTCGTGGGAGACACAGAATCATGGTCCTCGTATCTCATGTCGGGACTGTAAACACCAAAGTGACGATCCAAAGCCTCAGTAGAACTTTCACCCCTCTTTTTTGACGTTGATCTTCCGAATCCACCGTATGGAGAGGTTGAATTCGTGTACGGTGCAGCCCTTGATTGCCTCACTAACTTCTTAAAGAGTTTTTCAGAGAAATGCATTCCCCCGCCACCAAACTGAGAATCAGGACCAAGGTCGATCTGTCCAGAGTAGTGTGCAGTGCTACTGGGCCTGCTTCCAGTCTTGGCACTTTGTTGTCCGTGATACAGAAGCCCGCTGCTGGGTTTATTTCCAAACTGACCAGGATATAGAATCCCACTGACAGGTCTGCTTCCAGGAGGGGGAGTAAGAGGTCTAATACTTGGATCTCGAGTAACCGCCTCCGCTGGCCGACCTGGTTCTACCTCCCACATGAATGGCACAGCGCCACCGGCCTGGAAATTATGAGTACTTGCGTTGCTGACTTGCCTGCTAAAAAACATCTCCGTTTCATCATCGAGGATGTGAACGCCCATGAGGCTAGCGCGAAGGTTCAGTTTCATAGCATGGTCATCAGGGCTGCTTCCAGACGATTTGAGAGAGGAAGCGGACGTGTCTGGATCATCAGCGTATTCCAGGATTTCGCGGGGCCAGTTTGAGGTGCCCTCCAGTAGAGACTCTCGCCTTTCGATTTCTCTAGTAAGTGTTGAATCAAACATGTACTGACCAGGCCCTTTCGGACGGCCTGGCTCTACTTCCCATACGAAGGGTACTACTCCAGGGGTGCCCACAATATCAGAAGAGTCAGAGAGTTCGGAACGAGGAATCAGGAGGCCTCGATCCGGATCCGCACCTGCCGTTGTCATCATCTTGGCCAGTAATCGCAAGCCCCTGCAAAATTTGGAGCAGAATTCTGGCGACCTCTCAGGCGTAGAGTAATCCAGTGCTCTTAACCTTAATCTCCTTGACGGAGACGATAATGAAGCATTTTCTGCCCAAAAACCACGATGCACTCAACGCAAATGAAACCGTATCAAATCCATTTTGTTCTTTGGCTCATGACCTGTGCTTGATGTCGCCAGTGTGGAAAAGTGAGAAGTCCACATTCAGGACCGACCGAAACCTGCGTGATCTCATCGAAAAGTTTGCATCAGGGCAGCGTTCAAACAATGTCTCCAACTCAAGTGAACCACAGCATATCTACTCTGAGCGCGCTAAACAGGCGAGTACCTCAGTGGTAGTGACAATTGAAAGAGAATCATGGGCCAATATTAAGCGCCTCTTATTCATTCATTCATTGAGTAACATCACCGGTACCACACCATAACTAATCTAAAAATCAACTTCTTCTTTGGCAACTGAGAACAGCCTCACGTGACAGACAAGATGTTTGTAGTTTGGCTGATTCGAAAACATTCTAGTAGTTATCCGCCGCTGCAAATGAGAAAGGACTAAAATTTCTTCCAAAATGCTTAAAACCAATGGATTACGACAGTTCGAATACCATAAGTTTTCTAAATGAGCGCAAGATGGAAAAAAGGGTAACACAACGCATACAAAAGAGCAAAAAGCGACTCCGTGGCAATCACAATTGTAGTAGACATCCTCTGATAATCACAGGATATCACGAGTACCGTTCAAACGTAGCATCGCGGCTCAAAAAATAAATAAATAAATAAATGCCACATCCCTCGCTAACCTTACAACTTTGTTCTCAACAGCCATGTATTCATTGACTTTCAGCGAAAGCACACATTGACAAGCATGAGATCTCACCGAAAACCAAGCCTGGTGGTGATTCCTGATCCCGACGCCCCGTTCTGCCGCTACAATACTCGCAGGAGTCTAGGCACGCTACCTGCAATCCCGCGCATCGACCTAAGAAGTCCTGGAGAAAAACAAAAGCCAGCAGGTGACTTTAATTTCCTGCCAAGGATTGGAATCTCTATATTGCAAGAAGCCCAACTTTCACAGTTCCACCGCTACAGACTCAACAATGGATACCAGAGCACCAAAACCTCGTTGACATGCCGTCATCATACTCTTATACTCGAGTCAAACCCAGAAAATCGAAGAGAGAGCAGCTTTGCAACTACCATCATTATAGGCCAGAAGCTACATACCCTTCAAAATGCACTCCCACTGTCGACGATCAATCCAAAGGAGCCTGCACGATATAAACAAACCCCAACTTCACGCAGCACAGCCTTCTCTCTTGCTAGCTCACAAACCAGCTTCGAAAAAACGTCACCGCCTCACAACCTACGCAATGTAGCAGCCTCTTTCACTACCGACTGGCACCATTCCCATTCCTGCGTCAGCGAGGACTTCAACCCAATCCAGGAGACACAGAGGTGCAACACAACGCGACGCACTGCCTGATCCCCACCAGCAGGCCGAAATGGGTGTCGCGCTTGTGCACCTGAGAGCGTCAGATGGACAAAAGCGGACTGTCGCCCAGAGGTTGGCGAAAAGGAAAAAAAGACAAGGCAGTTAAGACCAGCAGGACAGGGGACTATCCAGGATCTCAGTAGCCTGGCAACCCATTGTCGTGATGAGGCTGGCCCCGGTTCCTCGCCCGAACACGGTATTCCAACGCCGAGCAGCCAAACCGCCGAGCAGGAGATTTCCGCGCTGCAGCCATTCCTTTTTCCTGCGTTGCACAAGGCATTCGTCTCGCTTATAGTATTTCTTTAGCTGCTGTGTCATAATATTAGCAACTGCTCGAGCTACCCATTACAGCTCTCATGTAGTGGCGGGACCTCCTCCATTCCTAAATCCTGCGACCCAACTCCCCCGCTATCTCTCCATCAACCAATCTTCCACCTCCTCGAGTCATGTTCGTTGCCGCCAACGTCCGATGAATAATCCATTTGCGGAGCCAATTCGTTGGATCCCATCAACGTCCTTTCATTACTGAAAATGTGATCACTCCATGCTGCCCCCCGCGCACTGGTGCTGCCCCCTCTTGAATGTAATACCCCGAAATTGCTTCCTGGCTCGAACCTCGAATCTCCTGCGCTAAATCTGGCAACACTTTAGGCTCCCACAACGCAACCCAGCAGTGCGGCAAAACCAAGCTCCTGGAAAAATCAGCATGCCATTGTCGACGCTTTGAACTGAGACTTGCACCCAATCCTCCGTGATCACTTCCATGGCAATTGTTGATCCGCACCCGTGATTAACACAACTCTATTCGAGATTTTGGATTTCAACTGATCTCGATTCCATCGCTCTCCGAGTCCCACTCAAGCTTCACTGCGCCGCAGTGGCAAAGGACGATAGGCGCGGCCAGCGCTTTTAAAAACGAGCCCTCATCCATTGGATGAACTATTCCCGGACGAATATTCATCAATATCATATATGTTCATCCGTAGTGGATGAGTTCTCCCAGCGACATGTTCATTCATCCATTTGGGAAATCTCGGATACGACAAATGTTTGAAGATTATTATTGATGTTGGATATGGATATTTAGAACGAATAATTGAAAAAGGTCAAATGTAAAAAAGTGGAACCAGAAGTGAGAAAATCTTGGGTTCTTTGATGTGGATTGCTCTCGTGGTTTGAGAGTTTCTATTCGTTGGTGCAGAGGCATGGAAATGTTACAATGGAAAGGTAATCTTCATCCACTTTCACTATTTCACATATACTACCCTCTTGAGACCAAATTCCATGATCCCGGAAAATTTATGTGAAACAAGACGAAATGCTCTCAACTCCAATAATTTTTTTGATGCCTTGAATCTGTCACTTGGGCATCAATCCAGCATAGATCACATGCAATGCATTTGGCAATATATATATATATATATATATTTATGTATTCACACACACATACATATGTATTAAAAGTGCATAAATTTTTGTATTTATAATATTTATATACATAGTAATATTCGTTTCAAAAATGTATTGAAAAAACGAAACCCCACGTAATCATACCATATATACACAAACTATTTGTTCTCTCTATTTTATTTTATTTTTTAGTGAGATCAACTTTAATTGTATTCTACACAGTTTGAAAATAAATAACTAAATAAATAAATAAAAGGAAAAAGGGCCTTTGACAAGCAAATAGCTGTTTAAAAAGTGAAGTATCGAGGCTTTAAGTTCCGTCCACAGTGACTGTCCCCCCTGGGGCCTCATAATGTCCTCATTATGGAGCCAGAATGGCCCTCTATTCGGACATTACAGTTGAAGGGTTGAATGCGCGGCATCTAGCGTTCAAACCATCATAGAGAACGCGACGTTCCCAGTTCCCAATATCTCCTCTCGGGAACCCCTCCCCAAGCCAAGAGGACTTCAAATTGGATATACATTTAAAAACCATAGTAAAGGGACGAATTTGAATGAACAAAAATTACAAAACTACTTGGTTGACAAAAATATTCACACGCGCTCTGTAATGTATTTGTGAACAGAATAGATTGAAATTGACTAAGATTTCTGATAATTGGTTTGAATTAAAAACTTGTGTTGAATGTTTATAGTTTTTTCCAATGAATTTATGTATGTAAATTCTTGCTCAGCTTAATAAGTGTATTTGATGTTGATCATGAATAGTATTTCAAACAAGTAATACTAGAAAATAATAACTAAGTAAAATTGTGATTGAAATTGATTAAGATGAATACTGCTCTCCTAGCTTTTGATGTCGTGGTAGTATGTTTTATTGTCAAATACACACTTAGTTCAGATTTGCATGTTAAAGTGAAATAATTACTATCTGTTCAGATATTTCCACAATTCTTGATATTAATTTTACGTTGCTTATTCTTAAATAAGTCGTTTAGAAGACATTATAAATGCATACATATATCTACTAAATAAAGATTGTATATTTTGTGCACAGGAAATTTTCTATACAAGCCTTGTGAAAGCATGATCAATCAATCGCCTGACTACACATACAAATACTGTAAAGACCATTTTTTTCACAATACCCAATTTGCAAAAGAGCAATATACGAGGTTCCCAACCTACAACAATACTTCACCTAGATTACTTGAAATACAACTAAATTCTATTGTTCAGAGCCGTGTATGCATGGATACACATCATTTTTGTAATCACCTTCAAAAATTTCATTCCTTCAACTCTCCGTCGTTGGTTAAAATTGAGCAACACAGATGAATTTCTATTTGGCACACTTCTACATTCAATTTCATTCAAACTCTACGCAAGTACACATGGATGACACAAAGTGGGTCATTAAAACAAGCTTACTATTTAAAAACTTGACTTCTCTTTGTGGGTCGTTCCTTGTACCCGATGAGATGTGAACCAACTAAAAATACAAACCATATTAAATCTTGTTACTCATAAACTATGAAAAATTCTAAATCCCAAAAAATTAAAATTAAAATTGCTAATTCGAACTTTTCGCGGGGAACGAACCCAGATTAGGGTTGTTGAAGGAGGTTAAATACTCACACGTGTTCAGCACCGCGAACCTGGGGGCCACATTCTGCCCGAAACGGTGCTGGTGACGGGAGCTGATTCAGCGTAGAATTGGGGTCGGATTCGAGATCGGAGTACGATTCCATTAGCAGAACAGGCGAGTATCTGTGTGACGTGTGGATGTCCTCCGGATGGAATGGTCGTCGTGCACATGAAGGAGGTGTGGGAAAGGGATCTGCTGATATCGTTTTCTTCGGCGATTAGCACCGATCTGCGAGGCTATCCGACAGAAGGATCACAGCTTGTTGAATTTTCTCAATTCACATGCGTAGGTTTCAAATTTTTCTGTTGTCAGGGGTTTGATGAAGCAGCTTGGTGCGAAGAGAATGCTCTTTCCCGCGATTCGCAACTTCTTTTGGTTGCTGTTTCTATTGGTGATGAGATTTTGAAGAGGTTTTGATGAGCTCGAAGGATTTGTAGAATTGAAGGAGGTGAGAAGACTAAGAAAACGACGAGGATCACGTTGGCTACAACGACGGAGCTGGTTTGTTACTTCCTTTCGCAGGAGGTTATTGTTGGTACTGTTGATCCTCCTCATGTTCCTAATCGGGCTATTATGGTGGCTCCGTGTGCGCGATTGTGCTTTTAATTGGTTGTAGGGATCATGTCATCAGTTAAGTGTGATGTTGGAGAACAGGGCAGTGAAATGTATCACTGAATCGTACTTGATGGGCATTTAATTTGTAATTTAAAAAAAGAAAGAAATGAATATGAACATCGAGCACTTCCGCCATTTGTACAATAATGTACTGTTTATTTTAAGCTGGAGCGATTATATATGAAGTCTGTGAACATCCGTTGAATACAGAGGTTTAAACCCGAAGCCGCTTTTAATTAGAATGCATGGTTTACTATGTGGTGGTTGCCACTACTCCCCATTCTTGCACCACGTGGGTGGGGTTAGTTGTAATGAGGGCCCATTGTTGCCAATTCTTGCTGAATTCCTGGATGAACTGAAACCCTACCAATTCTTTAGGAACGGGCAGTCCTCTTCGGAACTCCGTTATTTTGCAAAAAGTTACATGAAACCAAGTCCAACCTTCTGAGGTTAGTTGTGCTAGCTGATACGTGTGCCCGCAAATTGTCGCAGTATGAGCTACATATACTTGCTCAATGAGCTTGCTCAAAATCTTATGATATGCGTGATGCAGGTTGTTCCTTCACGCAGTTGACATCATGATGAGAGTGGCGCACGCACCTATTAGTGTCTGCACGCCTGTCACAACCATTTGTGACTCTAGCTCTCACAAGCGGCGTGTCGAATTTGGACATTGTCGTGCAAGATGGAAAGGTCAGTTTCTGGACGTTTTAGCAATCCCTCGTGGTTTTGTAATGGATCATATACATGGTGTAACCTATTCCTGAAGGTACCTACGAGAGTGAGAGGCTTGATCAGTCATGTTCTTCAGAACATCTTTGTTGAATTGCTGTCCTTGGATATTTGTTCTGGTCATTTGCTTACTAGAAGCTTGTGGGGGCTAGGATGATTACAGATACGACCATAAGATCCAATGGCGGGAGTATGGAACCTGGAAGGTGGAAAGAAATTCAGGCACGCATTTTGAAATGTTATTACCTTAGTCGTGCCATGATATTTACATGTGTAAAGGAATTGAGAGCTACACTTTTCTGAGTTACCTTCATTGTTCTAAGTTGCAGCTGCTGGTTTGAAAAAATCAACCCTGGGGCATCGTCGTTTTTGAGATCGATGAAGCGGCCACTTTGGATGGAAGTGACAATGTTAACTGTCATTTGATGCAATTCCTTGCCGAGTGCACAAGTAATATTCGCCTGACGTATGAGAACTTATGACTATTCGGACACATATGCAATGAAATGCAGAGTCTAAGTCACTCGTCTGCAAATGTTGGTGATTTGGTAAGTGCAAGAGCTAAGCATGCTGTGGACGATAATGCGGAAGTTTTAATCGAATGTTGTGATGTTTACAAATCTTTTGGCGAGAAGCCCATCCTGCAAGGTGCGAGCTTTAAGGTAAACCAACGTCTTCTGCTTTATATCACGGAATTTTGTATCGGGACAATCATGGTTACAAGCAGCACCGTAGTAAATGCTCTTCTTCATTTGATTGTGGATACGATCTTAACTGCCCATTAGTGTGGAAAGCTCGGGAGTTCCAGTGTGCACATATATGAGGATTGGCGTGGCTTTTCAATATGCTTATTCCAATGTGCTTGTCAGATACGACATGGTGAGGCAGTTGGCATCATTGGTCCCTCTGGCACAGGCAAATCTACTATTCTCCGCATCATGGCTGGACTTCTTGCTCCAGATAAGGTGACCATAGGAACGGAATACTCAAATTACATAAGAGTGGATCTCAAATCTGGTCTATAGTTTAGGAGGGTGTTATGCTATGAGTGTTTTTCTTGTTCAGCATGAATGCTTTTCTCCTGTTTTCTTGACATTCAAAATCACAAAGAGTGGTTCTAGTTTTATGAGATACAAGGACGTTTAGAGACAAAGATATTCATGTCTATTGTACTGCTTTCAGGGCGAGGTTTATATTAATGGGAAGAGACGAGATGGTCTGGACAGTGATGAAGATATGTTTGGTCTTCGAATTGGTTTGGTTAGTACTTTCAATCCATCGCCCGTTCAGTCGTCTAGTAGATTTCTATGCCTATTTGACCAAATGCACCGGGCAAACATTGTTTTTGACCTTACTCATTTGCAACGGCTCGAAATTGAGAGCTATTTACCGTTCTGATTCTTTCAGATTTAATTTGGGGTGTAGGTATTTCAAAGTGCAGCCCTATTTGATTCGTTAACTGTTCGAGAAAATGTCGGATTCATGCTGTATGAGACCAATACTGAGACGCCACATTCTTTGTTTGTCTTTCCTTTCTGTTGTATGCATACTGTAGTGTTTTATAGGAAATCATGATGCTTTATATTATGTATTTGAATCAAACTTGGCTACATAGTTCAAGTCTGCACCCAGCAGCGCGGTTGTTTCTTCAATTCTATTTCTTGTGTGAGTGTGGTTTTTCCTATGAGTACGTCCATTGACTACATTCACTTCCGATTTGCAGGTATGAACACTCTAATTTGTGCAATGACAGAATTGCTGAGCTTGTTCGGGAAAGTCTAGCAGCTGTTGGTTTGAAGGTAATTGTTTCGCAGTTTTAGCTTGAAGTCGAGCAATTAGTGACTACCAGGACATTCTTCCAACATTCGGTGAACTGTTTCGATTACTCAAATTCTGCCACTGATTCTGTGTGGAACTGATTTTACTCTTTTCGTGGTAGGATGTTGAAGAGCGTCTACCTTCAGAATTATCTGGAGGTATGAAAAAGAGGGTTGCTTTAGCCCGTGCTATTATATCTGATGGCAAGCCAGCTGAATACTCTGAACAAGAGGTGAAAAGTTTAATTTATTCATCTTGTGTTTTCTTCTTCGCTCGTTGGAGGTATGTGAGATTCTTTCACAGAACAAACGGAGTCAATGCTGCTGAACATGAAGGGTTTCGTCGGGTTGTAGGTGGTAATGTATGATGAGCCTACGGCAGGGCTGGATCCGATTGCTTCAACAGTGGTTGAGGATTTGATACGATCAGTTCATATAAATGGTCGTGATGCTCAAGGAAATCCTGGAACTATAGCCTCCTACGTTGTCGTAACTCATCAACACAGTACCATTCGTCGAGCTGTTGATAGGTACAAAATTAGGCCTTTCTTTCTGTTTTGTTTGGTCGGTGAAGTAAACACCTTTCGCATGGTTCATGTTAGAGCAACGCGTTTCTTTTTATGGTCAGGAGTATTCTTTTGTCAATTATTTCCGTTGCAAGCATGTCATGGTATAACTTGCAATCAACAAGTGGTTGCAGGGTTCTATTTTTACATGAAGGGAAAGTGGTATGGGAAGGTCCAACTGCAGAATTTGACACATCTGACAATGCTATAGTGCGACAGGTAATAATTGGCGCTTTGTTAGAACGTCAAAGCAGTGCATACGTCTAGGAAATGTAGAAAGTTGATTTGTTTTTGCAAGACTTGCATATTGCATTTTGGGCAAGGTTTATGCACTTCTGTTTCATTGATACCTCGTGCATCTCTTGCTTGTGTAGTTTGCGGATGGAAGCCTACGTGGTCCAATTCAGTACTAAGGTTCCAAATGTACGAACTCCATCCACAGGCATCCAAATTGTAACTTAGAGTCGCTTCTTGTACATAAAACTTCTCTTACCAAATTAACACGCTACCTTAGTTGGATTACAGTTAGCTTTATGCAACGTTTTTCTAGATGGTCGGGAAGACTGATTTGCAAGTAAACCTACTCTTTATTACATGTTTCGACCTTGAGACTTCACTAAGCATAGTGGCCAAAAAGTCCATTTGCTTTGATTTGATTATTGAGGAATGATATATATTGCCTCTAGGACACTGTCTTTATTCTTTGAAAAAATGTGTTAATGTTGGAACTCTGTTGAAATATGGTGTTTGGTCACCACAGGCTTTTCCTGCTACAACCGAGAAACTGTTTTAGACAAATTGTTTTGAGTACTTCACTTTGTTCTCTACTAGCATCAATTTCTCCTCGACATTCTTTATCACCTGAGAGTGCTTGGAAAGAGATGAAGTTTCTTGTGTGCACAATGCCGACCTTGCACGAAAGACTTGCCGTCGTTTTTGTATACTTCAAGAGGGATCTCGGAAACCTTGCACGAGAGGCAGCCTCATAGTAAACACAATCATTTTGGAAGCAAAATCTGGACTAGGCTCGAAGTGTATGTGCACGTCAGTGTGAAGGAGAAGATGCGTGATTGCTATTGTGATGGCGGCGGGGAGAAAAGATAAAACATGGGAACGTGGGGTGGAGACGGCTATGATGGCGTGGTGGGAGAGGCCAAGTGGCAAATGTGGGGCCTTTAAAAAAGAGAGATTACTGGATTCTTATGGCTCGATGTGTCAATTAATAGCCCATATTACACACTCCAGGAGAGCACCAGTGTGTGGTTGCCAGGATATTTTACGGCACCAAGAGCACATCGGGGTGCCTTAACCACCAAGGCACTGAGTACGTCTGCTCCTGTTGCTATTGCTGTTGTTCTTCACGGTTTATCGTAAGATCTATTCTGGCGATTCCGTCCTGGTTCCAAGTGTATCTTGTGTTGAATTATCTCTTCAGATTTTTAGGCCAACATGCTTTATTTGTGATTAGGAAGGATGAAAGTTTACCTGTATGGTTCAGCCCTATCGATTTTCCACTTGGGTAGGTCATAGCCGACGGTCATGACATTCTTTCGATCCCATCCAGGTACATAATGTGTTTAGTCTTCATATTACTGCTTTGTAAGTTTTATCTCAAATCCCTGCGTCTACGAATCGTAGTACCTTGAGACTAGGAGTTTGCATGGATATTTGTAGAAGAGTGACTCTGCTGTTTATCCCTGACATCTAAGCAGGTCTCAATAGCAGCATCAGAGAGGGTTTCTTGCTCTTGCTCGAAAAAGACCTGTGCCAGACTTTGTGTCATTTGTTATTTGTGGTCTTGTCTGCTGCTAGTCCAAAGTTTCTGTTTCTTCGTGAATTTCTGGAAACCCAACTCTGCATGACCTCTATGAATTGAATACACAGATTGGCAAAACATTTCTAAGGATTGTCAAGTGCAACAGGTTCGGGTGTTTTATCTTGCTAAAGCTGTACCGATTCGAAACCTGAGGCCACCCATGAATCCCGAAGGGCCAGCTCTCCAGGAATCACTTCATGCTCACATTGATTTTCCTGAACTAGTGTGTGAACAAAAGGATGCTGAGAAGCACAGTAAATGTGCACAAGTAGATGATGGACCCTTTGACACAGGGTTGCATACACGCAAAGGTTTAATAAGTACCCATAAAAGAACTTCTGGATTTGTACCGTTTCAAAGAAATGGACGCCATGCATTTAATCAAACTGCATCTATTTTGCCCACAGTCTCACGCTTACTGATCGCTGACCTTAGCGATCCAACTGGCCACAATCAGCAGTCATAATTGCCTTTGAACATGAAGCAAGAGCTTGACACCACTCTGATCTCTTCTAGGGAAGCATGTACTGTTGAGGCTACCGAATGCAAGCAAGATCTTGAGGAGGATACATGTAAATATTTCTTAGACTTCTCCTCCTTAAGTGAAGACGGTGGTTCCCTGGGACACAAGGACAGCACATTGCTTCAACATCAGGATTCTAAGTTATTTGTGTCAACTGCAGGTACGCTAGAGGTGTTGCAGTGCATCATTCTGGTAATGTCAATCGAGTGTTTGGTTTGACTGTTGGGGGCACAGTGCAACAATCTCTATCATTTCGTGTTCATGTTGCCCAATGGAAGTCTCTTCGTTTTTGCCAATCAACACCGTGATGATGAACGTCGCTTCCGGCAGGGTGATGAGGCAGCTTCCAAAGATTCCTGGCAACCCCAGGAACTACCCATCCGGAGCAGAACCTCTATGCTGCCAAAATCTGTGCGACACATGGTGCCATGCTGCCATTAATGCGCAACACATGCAGACAGAGAAGAGGAAAGAAACAGTGGTGATACCTTTTGCTGTTATCATAAAAGTGAGGGATAGATTTGCTATTATCAAGAATACATGGGTATTCTTTATATTTTAGCATATTTAAAGGATATATATGATATTCTTTCTATAATTAATAACCTCTAATTTTTAATAATTAATTGATTTTCGATGAATTTTATTAATTAACAATGGTAGTTAACAAAAACCACGTGACTATACATGATTAAGCATGGCCATGTGGCTGACAAGGCTACGTGGCTATATGCCATTGAGTAAGGTAATGCCACGTGCCTAGTAGGGTTATGTGACCACCATGGTAGAAAACAAAAACAACTGAGAATATAGAGCCTTAGCAAGGATGAATTATATATATATATATATATATATATTATTCTATATATATTTTATATATATATTACTATAATAGATGATGTTAATTAAGAGGAAAACACTATATATATGTACACTTTTTTTTTCTTGGTAAATTTTAAAACTAATAATATTTGTATCAATGTAAAATGACTTAGAATAAAATTTTAGTATTGTCATAATATTAGAAATTTTGATTGAGGTTTCACATCATTCCACGTTGAATTTAAATATTTGACAATATCACAAAAAATTATAATACACATATGCAATTGTTGTAAATGCATTTGTATCATAAAAGATGATGTCATTATTTGCTATAAAAAATCATAAGAAATTGTATTTTATTCTTCATTTGTACGGAGTATGAAGAGAGTTTTAAGCAATCTTTGTACAATTTAGTTCTCACGAATTGTTGTTGCGTTTTTTTTAAAACTCTATTTATAGACAATAAAATATATATATAGTTTTTGCAATACAAATTACAAAGAAATTTTTGGATCTGTAAGAAAACTTCATTTTTCTTATGAAGTTTATAGTACAAATTTTAAGTATTCAAAACTTTGCAAGTTTTTACACTAATTTTGTAATTAATTTAAGTAGTTACATAGTAGGGTTGAGAAAAAAAAAAAAAAAAAATCTCATTGCAGTGCTCATATTTAATTTTACAAAATTTTAAAATGGAAATTAACACCAAATTCTACACAAGTTTTGTCGTGCTAGCACTGGGGTACCAAATCAGAAGTAGAAAGCAACCACTAACAAACTCAACAAAAAGCCATCTTTTGTCTTACAGGAAATCAGTTTATGAAGTTAAATCCTTATAACATCATGCATTCCCATGTCCAGATTTTTTAAAATTCCAGAAACCAATTTTGTTTTTACTGACTCGTTGAAATATAGCACCGCATGAAATTCAAAACTTAACATCAAACTACTTTTTCCTTCGAATCTGGATACGACATTTCATCCACCAGATCCGGGGTCGAATCCCGCTGGCGCGAAGACGTCATCTGGCGATGTTTAAATCGAAAAGGAAATCGTCCTCGATTTCGAAGGACGATCGAGAAATCTACAGATTCTCTACCACTGGATCGGGGGTCGTATCCCGCCGACGTGGAGACGACGTTCGACTATGACTTCTGCATGGAAAATGTAACTGACGTTGGCTGAAACGACGACGACGTCGAGCTCCACCGGGAGGCTACAATCAATTGGATTCTCCGCGGCTTTGGCGCGAGCTCCACCCGTCACAGCTCTCGCATATCAGGAATAGTCTACATAGACACCTAAGTTTCCATGTCCCATCCACAAGCGCGTGATTGTAGCAGTGGGGCTTTTGCGAGCTAACTCAGTTTGACAGTGCGATCAGTTTTTGGACACAAACTGGGTACACACATTTGCATTGATGAGAGGAAGAAGAAAGTTACGACTTTATGTGCTTGTCTTGCATCGACAGGTGAAATCGTTGAATGCATGGCTTTGATGTGGATAAGCGGAGACGTGTGGGAGGGTCGATTCTCGCACTGCACGGCACCCCACTGCACGTTAATAATCCTGCAGCATGGATGCGGAGAAAACGTTGCGGGATCACTGCGAGTGATGGTCACGAATGCAGCCTGTGTCGCCGTGGATTCAAACCCATGACCCTCCGTGGGACATGCAAGTCGTAGTAATTGCAGCTTCAGCAGTCTGAGCATTACCCTTCGTTTCACCCTTGGGTGGGCCTCTCACGCAAGCCTGGCGAGTGGTTTGTTTGTTTGATTATATTGATTACCCACAAGTTTGCGTTAAGATTCTCTTCGTTCGTGTTTGCTCCTCCTGGTCTTCTGATGATGTATCTCAGCTCTTGTCTCTGCTTTCTTCGATCGATTTAATTTTTCTCTTTCGCAGGTTTGAGGTGCTTTCTGTTTGGTTGTCTCACCACCCTGTCGACTATTGCTTCTTGCGAGCAGGATACTGTTCAGATTTCTTGTTTTGTCCTCGTTCTTGTTTCAAGTGCATTTGGTATATCCGTGCATTTGTTTCTGTGACCTCGTCTACTATACGTTCTTTTCCTAAAAATTAGCAACTACAGCGTCCTTCTCACGTGTTCAAGCTGTAATGTTTGAGATTTGGTCAGAAGTAGCAGGGTTTGTGAGCGATGTTTGGGAATGTCAGGGAAGAGGTTTTCAGCGACTCTTTCGATAATCGAGTCCTGGCTGAGTGCCGACATTGGGATAGCTGTCCCGTAGTAAAGACCCTCCCTACTGAATCTTGATGACCTTTGTTTCTGTGAGACCTGCTCGACCCTCGATATTAATCAATGGAAAAGGCGCCTCTCAATATTTCCCTGCTTGAACGACCTCGGTGGACGCAGGTGCCTTTGTGGGTGTCATCGGAGGAAGTTCCTCCCGCTCGATAAGCCCCTTCAGACAGTGCAAGCTGGCAAGAGGTCTTTGCAATTTGCCCCGCCAGCTTTCATCCACCTTGACAACTAGAAGCTCCATGACTAACAGCAGATTCTTTGCTTCCGTGGGCGTTCGGACTTTTTGCTTGTGACTCGTGGCCTGCAAATAGATCGTAGGAGCCATGTTTCGCCGGGGTGGGCTGAAAATTCCTCGGTTGAAGATCACAAAATGGAAGTTTAAGTTGTTGACGTTAACCATTTTTGGCTTTTTCTCAATAGTAGCCACCCTCGTATACGTTTATGACTACCGCACCGTTACGTATTTTTTGCGACCCATTTGGGATACCCCCCCTAAGTCCTTTCAGGTACTTTCCTTTCTTGCTGCCATTTTACTTCGAGTCCTAGTTTTTCACCATCTTTGTCCATCAATCGATGTAGAGGAATCGTTCAAGCTCCTCATTGTTAAGATTTGAGTCCCCTTTTCTTTTAGTTTCATGTTGGATGATGTTAATCTGAAAGTTTTGTAAGTTTTACGAGCAGATAATTCCTCATTACTACGCGGATGGCATGAACTTATCCGAATTGTGCGCACTCCATGGCTGGACTCACAGGCCCACCCCGCGTCGTGTGTTCGATGCAGTAATCTTCAGCAACGAGGTTGACCTTCTTGAGATCCGAATGCGGGTGAGTCAACTTTTTTCCTGTTTACTCAAAACCCAATCCCCAGCATCATCACGTTGATTCTGTGGACTGAACGATTGTGTTCGTGTCTGCAGGAACTCATGCCCTTCGTCACTAAGTTCCTTGTCCTAGAATCGAACGCTACATTCACAGGAAAACCGAAACCTCTCTACTTCGCAGACCAGAAGGACAGCCGCTTCAAGTTCATTCACCCGCAGCTTCTCTACTCCAATATTCCGAGCCGTCCACAAATTCCTAACAGGGACCCTTTCGACAACGAAAAGCATCACCGAATAGCCATGGGAAATTTCCTTCGCACAGCAGGCATACAGGACGGTGATCTTCTTATCACAGCCGACGCCGACGAGATTCCGTCCGCTCATACCATTCATCTGCTGCAGAATTGCGATGGGTATCCATCCCCCATGCATCTCCAGCTCCGCAATTACCTGTACTCTTTTGAGTTTCTCGTTGACAGCAATTCATGGCGCTCAAGTGTAGAGCTCTACAGAAAGGAGACGCAGTATCGTCACTCTCGGAAGACGGATCATTGTCTAGCAGATGCGGGCTGGCACTGCAGTTTCTGCTTCCGCTACATCCGAGACTTTGTCTTTAAAATGAAGGCCTACTCTCACGCTGATCGTATTCGGCGTCCCTCTCTATTGAACCCCGAGCGGATCCAGAAGATTATCTGCAAGGGTAGCGATATTTTTGACATGCTTCCGGAGGAGTTTACCTACAAGGAGCTAATCAGCAAATTGGGTGCTGTTGCAAAATCCTTCTCTGGAGTTCACATGCCGAAGTATTTGTTAGAAAATGCGGAGACTTACAGGTACCTGTTACCCGGTAATTGCATACGTGATCCCCTGCCAGTCTCTCTATGAGCGTTGCATGCTGCAGATTACATGAACCTGATTATGAGTGCATAATCAAGAAGTTAGTTTTTCCCGCACAATTCCTAAACTACTGGAAGAGCTTCAGAAAACAGGTGCTTTACGGCTACAGAAGACATCGATTCCCTGTATTTCCGAGAGCTCTAAGCTTTATTATCAGCTGCCAGGTTCTTAAACAGATCGACTAAGAACCTGGCAGCTGATAATAAAGCTTGGAGGAATGTTGATGTCCACCTTGGAAGGAATTCCTCTACACTAGTAATTGTTTAGATGTTCATTCAAGTTATGAATTTGGGAAATTTTCCTTTTTGGTGTGTCTACTTGTTTGGGTGGTGAATGTGCACCCACATGAATACATATGACCTAAAACTGGTATGGTGCACAAATAGCAGCAAAGAATTTTTTTTGCAATATTTAAATAAGGCTTCTTTCTTCAACACTTGGAATTAGATCAAAGATTTTACTAATGTCTAAGACCTTCTGTACATCTTACAAAAGTCTTGAGTTTCTCTTGTCAAGGAATAGATATCTAAAAGAAGATATGCTCTGTTTTTTTGTATGCTTCTTAAGCTTGGAAGGTAATGGATAGAGAGTAGAACTTTGTTTTGAGTATGGTACTGAAGATAATCCATGAGATGGTCCTCATCTATGAAGTATGAATTATAAATGATTTTGTCAAAATATACTTTTTAAAGAACAAAGAGAATAAAGAAAAATAATTTAGGATGGTGATATTCACAAGAAATATATATATATATATATATATATATATATATATGTGTGTCATGGAATAGCTCTTAAGTTTTTAACTCTAATTATTTTTCATTCTCTATAACTTGTTGTGATATTTTATGAATACATAAATATTTATTTCTACGTTTTTTTAGTTTAATATCTTTATATTTTTTTACCATACTACTACCTAATTTTAATGTCTAATATTGTAAAAATAAGAATTCAAATATTCTATTATTAGTAACTATTTTTCTTTTATGTTTTAGAGTAAATTATGCTTTTAAAGCTTTTTATAGATAGATTTGAAGTTGTGGAAGTAGAAAAATTTTAATGATACAAAAAAATTATAACTTGAAATATTAAAATTATTTTTCATATTTAAAATTTGAATAATTCAATTGAAGGATTTTTTTTATTATTAAATGATATATCTCTATATTTTTGATAGTGTATAAATTTTATTATTAATTTATAATAAAAATTAAATATAAGATTAACTAATTATATACAGACTTATTCACATATATTTGAAATTTTATATATTTTTATAGAAGATGATAAATAGTATCTGATGCAATGTTATTTTTATCTTTTAAACTATAAAAGAAAAATCAACAACTATTGAGATTGTTATCCCTGAAGCTGATTATGGTTTATTTTCTATTATTTTAAAATAATTTAGTTGTAAGAAAATAGTGCCTCTTTTTAACTTATTATTCAAATACTTTAATTATACAAAGATAGAGATATGAAAAATATATATATTTTTTAATTAATATTAATTAAGGCACACATCCTAACCATCATGAAAAAAAAATGACCTCTAGTTTTATTTCTCTACTATTGGATCCACAACCAATGAAAACCAACCATATTCATCATGATTATCATATTTTTCTTCATAGGTGGGTTGATATAGTAAAAGCCCATGTCTATTTGACATTTCTCTTAATTAATCATGTATGATATGTATATATATATATATATATATATATTGACATAAAAAATTGATGATTAAAGCCACAATGTAATTACATGATATGTTATGAAAAATCTTTGTTCTATAATAGTAATTTAAGTAACTGCAATAAAATAATAGGCAACATATATAACATTATGGAAATAGCTCAAAATTAATTAATAATAAAGATAAAATATTAGAATTCTTATTTTAGAGTAATACCATGTTTTCTTAAAATGCATGAGTTTGTCGAAATTTTCATGCACTTTTCTTTTCCCCTTCGAAAAACTACACATAAATAAATAAATAATCAAAAATTACACTTAACTGTAGAAAAACACACATTCAATGTAAATAATCACACAATTCGCATGAACAATGAGGACAAGAAGCCTAAAGCATTGAAGCTCTCACTAATTCACTAACTCAATCCACAACTAAATATCTACGTGAAGTGTGTTCATATTATTCTACAGTCCTGGTGAACCCAGCTCACTTTTCATATCAATTCTGCGAACCTTCGGGAACTTTCTGGGGAGCTTGGGAACAGTGATTGCCAGCGTGTCACTGTCCACGTCGGCTTTGATCTTCTCCACGTCAGCACTCTCTGGAAGCAACAACTTGCGCTTGAAGCTGCAGCTCCCGGATTTGGTCTCTTTGCTCTGCGAGTTCGAAGAAGAAGCTTCACCCTCCTCGCCTTCGGCTTCCGGCTCACCGTTGTAGCTTATGTGAAGAGTTCGATCTTCTATCTGAATGTTCAGGTCCTCTTTCTTTAAACCTGTTCATGCCGTAATTGTAAGCCATGCTTTTCTGTACACAAACATAATAATATTTGGCCGCGAAATACGGACAAACTCGTGTCGAAAGATTTTGCTGTAGTTCAGGAAAATCACGTTCACCAAAATGTCAGTGGCTCACCAAGAGTGCTTTCCTTACACACCTGGCAGGCGAAGCTTGAAGATATAAGACTCTGCTGTCTCTTCGCGTCGTAGTGCACGAGTGTCGTGGAGGGAAGCGTCTCTAGCTTGCGCACAAGCCTGTTTGTGTAGAGGAACTCTGAGGATGATCAGATCGGTGAATAGTTGAGGACGGTTTAAGCCTGTCTTTGTACTCCTGGCGCACCCTCGCCCTAACCACGGTGAGAACACGAGAGCCATTTCCTAATGTGGCGAGTCTGACTGGAGGGGCAACAAGTGATAGTTCAAGAACCGAGAGATCGATCAAAAACTAGTCAGACTTGAAGATGCGTGCAACGATGCGGCTCAGTTCCTCGAGGTGCGGATGCAAGTAGAACAATTCGAAAGTGATGTATATGAATCAGGATGATCTCAGTGATACATTTATACGGACTGTGAATGGTGAGACGAGGAACTCTGCCGTGTAGGCGTTGCACCCTGCAGAAAGACCTGGAAGAGCCTGGAAGAATCAAAGTCGGTTCACCTTCTGAGATGCATCAATTGCTCAGTTTCCTCATTTGTTTTAGAACAACCACCTTAGAAATCGCGCATCAAGCTCATCACTGTGTAGTGCAGCATGAATTTCAGATAAAATTCGTATATAGAAGAAATGTTGACCGAAGCCTATTCTATATTCCTCCACACGGATGTCAAGGTCAGTCACCGACTAAGCACCAACCTGGAACGGAAGTTGGCGAGTGTCACCCTAAACCTGTTATCAATTGAGACTCTTGGATGTAGAGGAGATTGAGAACAAGCTGCCGAACCCGGTAGGAGTGAGCAGCAAGACTCCTACACTTCTGGATCCTTCTAAATTTCTCCCGATCATTCCACAACACTCGACACATTTCTTCATAGCATCAGAAAGCAAGGCTGAGCAAGGTACACAGAGTCATTGTCTCTGTGCTAGCATCCCTCAGGCAACAGGTTTAGGGTTTAGAAGCTGAGATTCTGATGCTACCAACTCTCGAACTTTACTAATTACAACTACGAATTGGACAGCATGTGAATGTGAATTTCTCATGGTGCATCCTTCATCTGTCACTGATTATTATGTTGTAATTATACGATCTGTATGATCTAATGCAGGGTTCTGGTTTTAGCGCTCTGAAAAAAATGATAGTAATTGTTTTTTGTACAGCAGTTTCTACATGAGTTTAGATTTATGTTTTACAATTTATTAAAAAACTTAGTTAATATATTTGGACCAATCATAATTCTAAATTAAACCAAGGTGTAGAACTTATACACTGTCACATGGGACGGCTTCATGGTTGAAGTTCCAACATCAACACTCACATTAAACACATGTGATTTAAAAAAATCATATTTGATTGTCTACAAGTAGTTCGCAACCAGTGCAAAGTTGCAATCAATAGGAATCTATCAATCAAATTGCTTGAATCACTTAAAAAGATCCTTTTCTTGATTAGGTTTGTATTCTCTTCAGACCAAAAACTTAGACAACGTCCCAAAAAAATTATTCTAAATTTGTGAGACACAATGTTATGTTTTTTAATTGACATAAATCAATGAAATTAAATTAACATGAAACATTCTTTTGGAGTCCTCAACAAATTAATTTTCTTGGATAATTCAAGATATATGATGTAACAGGAACTCACCCTTTCTTGTAAAACATCAAATAAATGATCTGAGTACAATTTAGAACATATGTTGATTCCAAATAGTTGATAAACAACCACATTTCTAATAATTTACAAGAAAACTTCTACTTTCAACTCTAAATTTATTCCCATACATGAGTTAAAGAAATATGATGGCACCACAACCATTGTGTTTTGGTTTGTTTGTATTTGTTTGTTTTTTTAATTTTTTTGAAAATTAAAAAAAATTACTCCTCAACTTTAGTTTTTGGCAACATGCTCTGGTGTTCATTTTGAGGCGTTTCCTTTCCTTTTCTTTTATTATCATTCAAGGTTTTAAAACCCAACTTGTTTTGTTATTATTAAAATACATTGATACTCTCAAACAAATTTTGCCATGGGCTGAGATCTTTTGAATCTAGTTTATTACTAATGTCATACCCAAGTCTCTCCTTTTACTTCCACTACTCTTTAAAATATTCTTAAGGCTTTAATGAACTTATAACTAATATCTATTAATATGATTCTATAATGCGGTACAAGTTGTAATTCCAACCACAAGTTACAAAATGACGAAGATTTTCATAATCCGGCAAGGGGTCAGAATATCCTGCACGAGGCCCACGTTCTCTGACACCCACGCCAATTAATTTAATGAACTAATTATTCTGTATGTAGTTGTAGGCAGATACACGTGGGAAATCAATGGTTAAGAAAAGGCGGTAGAATGCTGAGTTGGCAGACGACGTGGACACCAAGTCATCATCGCTGACGCAAGCCCTAATTCAAAAAAACTCTCACCCCGCTCTAATTCACCCGCCTAAAGCGTAGTTTTGTTAACCCGCTTTTAGTGTCGTACCATTTTATTTTATTTTATTTTTTTGTTTTGTTTTGTTTTGTTTTGTCTTGTTTTTTTTTTTTCAACGGCACGAGCAGCCCATCACGCGCATTTGAATTCAGAGAGATCTCGCGCGCGGGCGGCGAACTGCAGCTCCGCACTGGCAGACGGAATTGTTTCGATGGACTACAGATTCGCTGCGAGCGTTTTAGACCAGTGGTTGCGCTGAACGGCGAGATTTGCTCTTGTCGGTGCAGAGCTCAAGCAGGGGGATTGCAGCGGGGAGTTGAGCCGCGAGCGCGAGGAAGGATTGGGAGTGGCTCAGTTCGAGAGTGATGTCATTATCGAGGTTGAGTGTTGAAACTAGCATCTGCTACGATGATGAGTAGTTGAGGAGGAGGAGGAGGAGGAGGAGGCGGAAGAAGAGGAGGAGAAGTGTGAGTGTGTAGGGGCATGACTCACCGTTTGGGCTTGTCCGTGCATTGTCGGTTTCATGAGTTAGGTCTTCGAGGGTCCAGAATCGGAGAATTTCGTTCTTTTTCTCGAACTCTGGGGGATGTCACTGGGTTGTGTGTAGGGAATATTGAAAGTCGAGGTGATGTGGACCGGAAGTTGTTGACGGATAGTGACTACCGCGTATAAAGTCCAATATTCGTTCTAATTTGTGGAGTTCGTTTAGGTTGATGGTTGGTTTGGCTAGTTCAATTCGTTGGGGGTTTGTCGTGGAGGACACTCGGTGCATGCGTGTGTTCGTGTGTGTGTGTGTGTTTGTGTTTGTGTGCCCCTCTGTCGAAGAGGTGTGTGGTGATCGTTGGAGTTTGAAGAGTATGGAAGTTCTCAGAGTGCGCTGTAGTGGATGTAGTTTCAGATTGTGATGCTTCGGGCTGGACTTGGATGCATCATGGTTTACTGATGCTTGGGAGGAAGAGTGGTTATCGGGTTAGTGAGGGAGATACAGGGACCGCTGGATAGCTGGTTAGGAAGGCAGTCCGGAAGAAGTTAAGGTTTGAATTTGTAGAACCTCGGGCATTTTGGCGGCTACAAAATCGGAGGACCGCATCTCGCTAGGGGTTTAAATGATCGGGAGCTAAGAAGTAATTATGAGGCGAATGCGGCCTCAATCAGCGTCTGAATAGGTACATCTTAGAAGATTTCCTCAAATTTCCTTGCAACGTGTCTTCCATACGTATATCCTATGCTAGATTCATTGCTCATGCATAATTTACAATCTGCAGCATTCCTGCACAGACAGCTGATAGACGTTTTTTTATATTGCAGTCCTTGCACTAGTATTGTTTTCATAGCACAAGGTCAATAATCAAGTTCTTCGCATCATTCATTTGACACCACAATCTTTCCCTTCGTGAAGAGGGGCTCTTGTTTGAAACGTACTATTTGAGTTGTTTTGAAATTATGAGCCCTGTTGTTTAATAACTGCAATCTAGTCTGCTTTGTTTAGCTTAGCTTTTCAATACGGGTTGGGTTTAACGAGTCAAATCCGGCCTGGTTCTCCTGCTGTTGTTATTTTCTATTTAGCTTTTCCACAATATTGAGCACCGTCCTTTCTATCGCAGGTTGTAACGCAGTTAGTGGTCTGAAAGGACATAGATTAAATCTCTGCGTCTGTTCGGGTTAAATTTCTTGAGTCGTTGTGCAGAAATGTCAAATGTTAACCTGTGAACTCCTTTTTATTCTAATTTTTTATAATATTTTTAATTGGATGCCAGGGTTTGGCAGACTAAATGAATGGCTAAAGCTGCAGCAGCCCCTCCTCCTGTCCCTAGGACTACCTCACCCACTTCCAATGGCTCTTTATCAATCGGAGTGATCATTGGGATCTCTATTGGAGTTTTCATTGGAGTAATTATAGCCTCCTGCGTAGCGTTGTGTATCGGATGTCGGAAGAGGCGGTTAAAGAAAAGAGGGAGTTCACGCCGGGGCTTTGTTCTGCCGATACGTGTCAATGGCGTCAACTCTAGCACCATTATGTCTGACTCCGTTTCTTCTCCTCCAGCTTATGTCGCCAGTAAGGGCAATACTTGGTGGGGAGGTCAGGAAAAGCAGCTAATTCCATCCTCATTGGGGGTGACTAAGTTCACTTACAAGTAAGAATTTATCTCTTAAGTATTACCAGTATAAGTTTTAAGTGAACTATGCAATATTTGAAGCATGAAATTTAAATGTTGTAATGGAAATTCCTGTTTCATCACTTCCTGTGACATCTGCGCGGTTCCTTTTTGAACGTGTCATGACACTGCTCACCAACCTGCTATGATTTGTTCTTGTTAGTCCTAATTGAGATGTGCTTGCTTGCAGGGAGCTTCACAAGGCGACCTCTAATTTCACTGCCCTGCTCGGACAAGGTGCGTTTGGTCCAGTTTATAAAGCCGTGTTACATTCAACTGGAACGACCCTCGCAGTCAAAGTTTTGGCCGAACAGTCCAAACAAGGGGATCGAGAATTTCAAAACGAGGTACTTCACACTGGTGGATTGGTTTTGCTGCTACTTTCAGGGCTTCACCCTCCTCAATAATAACTTGCAGGGCCGCAGCGTCCTTTAAGCTGGTCATAGTTTGACTCGAGAGAAATCCTCAACAAGTATCAAATATCTACACTGGGATTGGCTTCTTTTCCCATACGAACTCAGTGCAAATTAAGGATTTAATTTCTTTCAGTTAGCATCGATTATTATTTGCAGGGATCAGTATGACCATACGCAATTCAATGATAAGATGGGCCAATTGTTGTGTTATAATCGACTTGTAGGAGAGGTTGTAAGTATTTCACTGATTACTCTGAAAGGCTAATTCAAACGTTCGTGTTCAGGTTATACTCCTTGGGCGATTGCATCATCGCAACTTAGTGAATCTGGTGGGGTATTGTGAAGAAAAAAATCAGAGGATTCTAGTATATGAATATATGCACAATGGCAGTCTAGAACGAAAGCTAGTTGGTAAGTTCTTCAGATCCAAGACATTTCAGCATCTTTCGCCCTCATTGTTAGCTCATACAACTGAATCTATGAGAGAACTATTAACTAAGTAAGTCAACAATCAAACAACTAGTGTTTCAATAGCAGTAACATTCTTTGACGATTTGATTGAAGATGTGAATAGTACTAAATTTTAATTGAGACAGATTAGCGTTGAATGAAGACTTTAATCTAGTGCAAATTACGTGCTCATTTCTACACGAGAGTGGCATTGCAGATCAGAATAATGAACCGTTGACTTGGGACCAACGGGTGCTTATCGCTCAAGACATTTCTAGAGGGCTCGAATACCTTCATGAAGGAGTGAGTTTTCTTTACCTTTCTCCCAGTATGTTGCAAATCTAACCAGCGCTTATCCTGGATAGTTATTTTCCATATGTTTGGTTGAATGCACGTGTATCCTAGTCTAATGCCGTTAACGTTCATCTGATATTTTCACGGTCTTGGGGCTTTTGCAGGCTACTCCGCCTGTTGTTCATCGGGACATTAAATCTGCGAATATTCTGTTGGACGCCACCATGATAGCCAGGGTGCTGATCCAATCAAGTTCTTCCACTTTAGTTTTTGATTTACTCGTACTTTAATGTTTAAGTGTTTATTTGTCTGCTTCGTGATAATCGCAACTTCATCCTTGTCTTGCACCATCGATTACTGGATGTGACAAGTGGGGTCCCTAATTTGAGCATACGGCTGAATGATGGCTGTAGGTAGCTGACTTTGGGCTATCAAAGGCGGCAGACTCAACGAACATAGTTTCAGGCGTGAAGGGGACATTTGGATATGTTGACCCTGAGTACATGTCTACAAATAGCTTCACTGCAAAAAGTGATGTTTATAGTTTCGGTGTGCTTCTTTTTGAGCTTATCACTGCCCGTAACCCACAACAAGGGTTAATGGACTACGTTCACCTAGTATGCCCTTGACTCAACATCTTTCTTTTTATCGTGCTTAGTTATGAATGGCCTCCTAGAATACTTGTCCTGAATTTTCTGTTTAAGTTGTATTGGTTAAGGGTTAGAGGGTTTGTTTCAGTAGCTGTCACATCAATCACGAGCGAAGGATCCAATCTATTCTTACATGCTGAGGAATATGTGATCTGTGAATGAAGGCAGCTATGGGCATGGAGTCCAAGGAAGACTGGGCAGAAATAATGGACCCACGAATGAATGGGAACTGTAATCTCCAAGAGCTGGGGGACATGGCAAATATAGCTTACAAATGCGTGGGACCTGTTGGGGAACGGAGACCAAAAATGCGTGCTGTAGCCCAGAATTTGTGTAATCTTGGTAAAAGGCGTTCGAAGGAGCACGCTGTCTTGTCTGTAATTGAGGAAAATGTACCACCCACAAGATCTTTGCCCGCAGGGGAAAGGAGTAAGCCACTGAAATCCAAAAAGGATGCAGGTATCCCTCCACTTTCTCCCCCAAGGGATTATAACAAATAAGACGCTGGACCTCAGTTGTGGTCTAATTAGCCAGTTTTTGAGTATGTGCTGGCTTAACATAAGCGGCTTTTTCCCACGTAGGAATGTATGTTAGAGTTGTGCACAATGTGCACTATGCAAGAATGTTTTTGACAATCATCGAGGTTGTACAAATTTGTAACTGTACATGTCAACATCCATCACATCTTACCTTTAATTTATTCATTAGTATAATCTTTCCTTCTTATCCTGTAGAGCCGGTATACTTTTCTCTTGATATTGTTCTGGAAATATGTGACAAGCAAGGGATTTCAGCATCTGCGTGCGTAATCTTCGATAGAAGTGTCACATCCTCGGTCTCTGAGATCACTAATGTGTAAAATCACGTCAACGATGTACCCCACTCCTTCATACTTGCTTATCCTTTACTTGCTTGCTGCAGTCAACCTTTCTCCTTATAGAAGGGATCAACCGAGGCTAGGCTCATCTTTTCCTCTCTGTAAAACTCTTATTAACGCCACATTTGTTGGTCTGCTTTGACTTGCATTGGCTGAGCAAACATCTCTTCGTCTACCCTTGAATTTTTGTCATGCATCAACTTTAAGATGACTGCATATGACTTAAAATTTAATATTTAATTTCTAAACTATCAATCTCTTCACAATATCTTTTTGGTGAAGTACTTTATTCTACATAATTGATTTGAAGAAAGGGTGTTTTTTTGAAGTGAGAACATTCAATGCAGTTGGAATACAATCACAATCCAATAAAGTATTCTTGTCTAGACTATTGACTTGGGTATTCTCACTTATCCTGAATACATCCAAGTAAGTAAAAATTATTTCTTTGAAATGTCATCTTCAGCACAAATAAAACGAACACTTTCCAACTAAACCAATATTTCAAAAATCAACAATTATTGGATTATCAAGGAATAGATATCTTGGTTTTTATATTAGAAAATTGTAGATTTAATTATTTAAGTTTGAAGATATTGTGTCAATTTACATGAGAGTTTTAAATTAAAAATAAGATTCGTAACCAAAAAATTATTAAAATATTGATATGTTGTGTCATAAATGAAATTAAGAAAAACTAATATGAAAAGTCTCAAAACATCTGTAATACAACAGAATTCATGTCAAGGGTGGCTGCATCGATACATACTTATATCATGCGTACATAGTACATGGATACACCAGTTATCTTGGTGTATGGATGTGTACATACACATGTGAGTGTGAAATTTGTGCAAAAAGCTTCCAAGCACCGCAAATTACCAAGATTTGAATTTATGTGGGGGTTTGGAAGAATGTTAAGAATCCCTAAAATTGTACCCAAATCAAGTGTTTACTCTCTTTACGAGAAGCAGGTGGAAGCAAGGTAGGTTTTCGTGTAAAACTATGGTTTCCATTGTGGCAACGTATTGAAGGTGAATGGATATGTCAAAATTTTGACAAAATTTGCTCAATCCATCAATTCTATGGGTCAATTTGCTAGTAAGTGTATGTGTTTATATGTATATATATATATACATATCTTTGTGCATTTAAACATATCCTCAATTGTGCCACAATGACCTTTGATAATTTTTGTAGACTAATGAACTTTATAAATTACCATGTGATATTCACAAGAAATCTAAGACAAGTGTTGATGTTGGTTTTATTTCTTTATTCTTTTTTAATTTTAAATAAAAAATTATTTTTATCCTTTTCTTCCACAATTTTAATTATTTTACAAAGCAGTTCTAATTATAATTATATTTATAATCTAATTGTAAGTATTGATTATGATTAATATGATTATAATATCAGAAAAGAAAAAATTGTAAAGCTTTCCAATATTTGTGCTATTATATGCAATACTAATTATAATAACAAGAAAGAAAGATAATATTTTTGCACTAGTGTGTCATACAATGTACCATTCAAAAATATTTTAACACTGACGCTTATACAAAAGCTTTAGGTAGTTTTTTGTTATATAAATTCGAAATTATTGATACTCATGATTAAACTTATTAAAAAAATGAAATTAATTTAAAAAACTACATCATGTAACAGTATTAATTATCTTGCATTTTAGAATAGTATTTTAATTTTAAAATCAATTTCTCATCAGTTGTAAGAAAGACACCATCATCAAACTAAATTCAAAATACACAAACACTTCATATGAAATATACATTACAAACAATTATGTTAAGTAAAGTATCTAAATTACACATGTATATTAAAAATTATAGGTTAAATTATTTTAAAAAATTAAATGAAAAAATAATATTCAAATTCAAAGTTTAAAAAGTAAGTATATTGCATGATTAAATGAGGTAAATTTTTTAAAAAAATTAGACCTTCAAATTTCACCAATTTGTTTCTACTCAATATTTTTATGTCCATCTTCAAACACAATGTTCTTTTATGGTTAAGTATGCATCTAGTTTATTTATTTTTTACTAATTCTAACATTTTTCAATGCTCAATTTTTATGACTTTTTTCCTATTATAATAATTGTATGGATTGATAATTGTATAAAAACGACTCCTAATCAAAATGTATACATTGATTTAATTTTTGAAATGAAAAGTATGTGAGATTTTCATAAATCTATAATTTTTCAATTTTTTTCGATGTGATTTATTTTTAAATTCAATTAAGTCAATTAAAGATGAATCCTAGATTGATTTATAAATTGTACTACACATCTTTTAGTTATATTTCACAATTTAAATATGTATTTTTTAGAAATATAATTACTTTGAAATATATAATTATTAGCATATTGAAAGATGTCGAAAACCAATATTAAAATCACGTGTTATTTATGCATTTGACACTCTTCAAGCAAAACATTCAAAACATTTACAATTATTATGGATCTTTGCTATTACTTTTATGATCGGAATGATTTTTCAAAAATATTATCTAATTTACTTATGTATTCAAAAAATAATAATCACTGTATTAATTTATAATAGAATTTACCTTGCATGGCTTTTAATGTTTTATAAAACCATTACCTTGGCATTCAGGGAAAAGCAGTCCCAAGTAAAGGAAAACGACCCCACCAGGAAATCGCCTTTTACGTTTTCATGATCCCCACTTTCCACTTTTTCACGAGTCTTACTTTAACGTTCTCGGACTACACTTTTAATGCTTTCCCAGTTCTGACGTTCACTTTATCCAGGTCCACTTTTACGTTTTCACTATCGCTACTTTCGCTTTTTCCTGGACTCTAACCTTTGCCTTTGTTTTTTCCCATAATCCTTCCGTTTACTTTATCGAGACCCACTTTTGCTTTATCTGCATATACTTTTTTTGTAAGCTCATTATAATAGCTATAGCGTCTTTTCCAAGCCAATCTCATGAACAGAGCCGTCATCGTCGTCGTTGTTGTGAAGACTATTGAGCACTAAACGTGAGCCCCAAGCACTCGTTTCTGATATTTCACAGACTCTGCACACGCTTCGCAATTGGCTTGTGAAACGCTGCTCATCGTTTGGTATCGAAATCGCGAAGTTCGACGTTGTTTGAGGGGATCTGGTGGCCAGGTACAGGCTTCGAAATCAGGTTCCAATTTGAACTGATTGATCTGTCTCATGGTGGCTAAGAACAACCAATCGCGGTGCTGTCGGATTGCGATTTAAGGTTTCAAGTTGCGCTTCGGAGAAATTTTGTTGCTGGCATTAAGGTATGGTGGATTGTGTGGTTTGTAAGAGTTTTTCGGACGTTCGTTTTGGTCGATTCTTGGTTGATATATGGTGTTTAGTTGTCGATGTTGTTGCCACTTTGGCTGTAGCTTTGCTGGTTCGGGATGTAACGTAGGTGTGTGTGTGTGTCGTGTTAAGTGGTGTTAAGTTTCGAGATGATTATGAGCAGTTAATGTATATAGAGACTTGCATCGAGGTTGTGGACTGGGAGAGGGACGTTGATGACGAGGGGTGGTGTTGAGATGAAAACTGTATCAGTTTTAATAGTGGTTTTGAATATTATGAAGTAACCTGGAGATTTTGAGTATGTGAATTTGGAAGTGTGAACGACATGGCAGAGGGGTTGAAGCACTAGAGTAATACATCTTCTTTGTGTGCTTTGTAGATTGAAAGTTGATATTCAAGGACTCAGCTGAGGTCTTGCCCGACGTAATTTCACAATTGTGACAATGAATAAATCATCTCAGAGTCGTCGTTGCATACACCAGCGGAACAACATGAACACTACAAAATGCAAACGGGTATCGGGGTTGTCGCGGATCACCTCGGTTGACGCACAATCCCGATCCAGTTGTTCCAAAGCTCCCCCGACCGGCCCTAGTTGTGGTAAGTATGATCATTTCAGGCGCAACCGAAGTGTCCAACAAGAAGGCTCCGAGGACCACGCCACGAGAATCACAAACCATAGTCTTGCCAGCAAGCAAAAACGCTCCGTTCACGTCGTTGAGCCCAGACGAATGGGCTTCGGAGAGGTTAGAAGATTCTCAACCAAGAGCGTCAACTCCGAATCAAGCTACGGCATCAAGCAATCGCATTACTCCCATTTTCCCAGCAAGGAATATCAGTGGAAGCCTGCAATCGGTCTGGGAGAATCGGGAAGCTCTGGTTCCTCGATCCCAGCAGCAAAGCGTTTTGAACGTGGCATCAGGATCATTCGGGAAGAGGAGGAGGAGCAAGGATCAAAGCAAACAGGTTTCTTCTGTGGCCTCATTGACCACTGAATCTTCCTCTAAAAACATCAATTCTCGTCTACAAGAACAAACTGAGAAGCAGCAGGCTAGTAAGATCTGCCAACATTTACGATATGTATCAAATTATTGCCGTGCATTACAAAATTATCTTCCTACCAGCGGGCTTCGCCAGATCCAAGCTTGCGCTGAAGAATGGCCAGCTCTTGGAAATAGCTTCACTGTGGCTCAGAGACGAGCAGAGGAGCTTGAGAGTTATAAACCTACTGTACCCATATCACGATATAGGAACAAGACTCGCTTCTGGGATTTCCATGCGAGCTCTAGCTTACGCTTGAGGCAAGATCCTCAGCTTGTACAAAGGCAAAACTTACGGCATGTAGCTAAAGAGGGTGCAGTAAATGGAAAGGTAGTTGAAAATAAGGTTCATGAGCCAAAGCTGATGATGCTGAACAATGATTTTGCGGTGACATCATCATTGCGGGATAATCTTCTTATCACTATTGCGTTGACAGAAAGGGAATGCTCAACCCAGTTTGTGGAGGATCAGGAGGAACTGAAGCTGGGTTTGAAGGAGCAAGCGCATTTGGTTCTGCTTGGACGGTTCACGGCATTTTCATCGTTCTTGCAGTTCAAACTGTGCCACGATGCACTGCGAGTGAAGTATGAGCAGAATGCTGGCGGCTCTTCTACCATCTCTGAGGTATCTTAAGTGAACTTCTCGAGTTAGGGAATTGATCATAAAAACCTGTTTTTTTTTTTTTTTTTTTTTTTTTTTTTCAGTCGAATCAATAGTTGAATCTCACCGAGCTAATCAAATTAGTCTGCTTTCATGTAAGCAACTCCTTTAATTGGGTAATAGCTTGAAGATACATACCCTCTCGATTCTCAGTGTGCTGCATTTTGCGTAAATTAGTTACGTCACACTTTATGAGTACAAAAAATGCATTATATTGAAACGTTGGCTATTGTTCCAGTCCTTGTCTGTGGAGTACTTTGCGAGAAGGTTTCGTGCTCAGGACATTGTCTCAGAGATGGAAGTTGAGTACTGGTCCTCAAACTGGAAGAAGGTGGATTATATTTGCACCCTGTATGGCCAGCGGGTGGGAGTATCAGTTTCTCGGGCAATGGCGTTCCCCGACCCAAAAGCCTTCTCCCCTGAAATGGCACATCGCCTACTTCATAAGAAATTATACGGCTTGGTAAGCTAGAATCTCATCTTGCAGTTGGTGTCTCAATTTTCAAAGAAAAAACGATGCATTTCTTTTTCAATGTTCCGTTATCCTGAAAGTGTTGTGGTAGTCATCCTAATGACATTGTGAGTGGACAAAGGTTGTTGCAAGAGATGGAGTTACCAAGCGGCATAGTTTCTCCAAGAGCATTCTTCACGTGTGGTGCGAAACTCAACGGACAGCTGAGATAATGAGGACTGTGTCCACAGGTGATCTCAGCTCTCTATTTCAACGATGTACAAAACATAACATTGAAAAAGAAATTAAAATTAACCCAGATATTCTCTGTGCTCATGATTGGTGTTTTCATTTGTGGACAGATGTTCGGAAGGACTTGAATATCAGCGACAGTATTATCATGGTACTCACTGTCGCAGATGATTTGTATTCTCGCCCTATCTTCTACGAGCATGCCCTTCATCAGAGTTGACATGAACGTAAGAGTGTATTCTCCATCAGCCTGGTCACTCCACCACTTGATCATATTTAAAACTTTTCATATACTCACTGTAAAATTCTCAATAATACGTAGAGACACATTTTATATATAAAACTTAATTGTGAGAATTGGACTCAGCAAACTCTTTTACAAGAACATCTTCGCTCACCATTGCAAAAGGAAAATTGTCTCCAGTCTTTTCTCGTCACCTTCGGTATCCTCGACTGTCTAGTATCGATAAAGAGATCCGGCTAATCTCGTCACACTTGCTCCAGACATTTCGCAACGATGGATGTTGCACGAATTTTAATCCTCATAGAAGTATCTGAACGTAACGGTTTTTACACAATTTGGAATCAGGTTTAGCTTCGCAACAGCTCTCTCAAATCGTATTTTTATTCGGGACGTGGGGCCTTCAGACTAGTGTTTGACCAAGGCGATCGGCTTCCAAAGTATCATCACCAACTGGCAACACGCACAGCAAACTCGACCCCATAAGGTTGGACAGGCAGCCACCTGTGAGGTAATTTTTCTTCCTGCCGTGACAGTTCCTGTGCCGTGATGCACACAAACTAAGGTACGCGAGCCTCATGAAACGAGGGAAAGTTATTTAAAGTGTCTTGCCTCCAAGATTTCAGTTGCCACTTGGCATTGAGAGTGTACAGCTCGGCTGCGGGATTCGGAAACCAAAGGGGTTGATTCCAACGCTCATTTGTAATTTCAGCTTTCTCAGTCTCAATAATTCGCCTTGTACAGGTGTTCATGGAGAGTTGAAATGCTGATAGTCAAAACATTCACACGCCTAGAAATTCGTGATAAACCCCAAAAAAAAAAAAAAAAAAAAAAAAAAAAACAGCTCCACCACAACAATAGCTCCGAAAAGAGCACTACCGAGAAACACAAGAAAAGTTTACACGAAATTTATTGAACCTCTTTGGTAATGCATCCGCTTCTTTAAGTACAAGGGTGTGAGATACGTTTCGTAAGCTCCCTAACATCAAACTCCATAACCCAGTAGTTTAACACAGAAATCCATGTACACGCAAGCAATCCACGCGTGAGTGTTTTAGCTGCTGTTTCCTAGAGTCACAGCACTTTCGCTTGCAGGTGCAGGAGTCTCGATCTTGGACTTGTCCAAAAAGGTGCTGCCATAGCCATGTTCTGTTTCCTTGGGCTCATGAACTACTCCCCGCTCCAGAGCGGATCCTTCAAAATTGTAATCTCCTTCCTTTGTCTCAGCGCCCTCGGTGTTCTCCAAAGTCAGTGCGCTATCCTTTGCCGGTGTCGGAGTTTCTATCTTTGTGTTGTCGAGAAACGTGCTGCCATACCCATTTTCTGTCTCCCTGGGCTCGTATGGCGCGCCGCGCTCGATAGCAGATCCCTCGAAATTGTAATCCCCTAGTCTTGTCTCGGCACCCTCCTTGTTTTCTAACGTCACCGCACTGTCGTTCTTGATTTCAGGAGCTTCGACCTTCGTCGTCTCCAGGAACGTGCTCGTGTAGCCATCTTCCGTCTGCTTTGGCTCGTAGGGCACTCCCCGCTCCAAGGCAGACCCTTCGAAGTTGTAATCACCAGTCCTCAGCTCAGCCCCTCCCGTGTTCTCCAATGTCACTGCGCAGTCCTTCGATGGCTCCGGGGCTTCAATCTTGGTTTTGTCCAGGAATGTGCTGGAGTAGCCGTCTTTCCTCTCAAGGGGCTCATACGGTGCGCCTCGCTCAAGGGCAGACCCTTCGAAATTGTAGTCTCCTACTCGGGTCTCCGTGCCCTCGGTGTTCTCCAGTGTCACTGCGCTATCCTTGGCTGGTTCCGGCGTCTCAATCTTGGTCTTGTCCAAAAACGAGCTGGTGTATCCATCTTCTGTTTCCTTCGGCTCGTATGGCACGCCTCGATCGAGAGCAGACCCGGTAAAGTTATAATCTCCCTCTCTAGCCATCCTGCCAACGTAACGCTGTTTCACAAGACCTTAATGGGGTTAGACACCATGTAATTCCAACTGGAAACTACAGAAGGTCAACATCGACCACTTCATCCCACAAGCTAAAAAACTCAACAACACCTATCAAGAGCAATCGTCGATAGCAACTTTTAACAACTTTGGAAAACCCACAGGCGATGATTTATCTCGCGATGCGCACAAACTGTGTCACCAACTCGACGTCGAAATCCTCCCAAACGAAAAAAGTGCACCAGCGATCAGGTCTAACAGTACCACTACAAAGCTCAAATTGAATAAATAAATAAATAAATAAATTTGCGATCGTGAAGGAGTAGGGGATGCTGAGTTTTGGTACAGGCTCATATAAGGGCGAGGGGCGATGGAGTATCAGTTCCACGGCGGGTCCGAGGTGAAGGAGACGGAGCACACGTGGAGACCTGCAGCTTGAGCTTGGAATGGGCAACCTGCAGAGGGTGGCAGAGGTGGATATGCTACGGTTATCAGCCATCGACACCATTCTTCGCGTCACACTGCTGTTAAGGACCATTTGAAGAACAAAAAGATACACGGCCACAATTACTGTTTCATGACATAGAAGGAAAGCGCAAGTGATGAATAACGTGGAATCAAAATAAAAATACAAAAAACTTTTATTTAGACATGAGTCGTTCCAGTCGTTCTCTCACTATCACCCTGCTTTTCGGCTTCTCATGTCGTCTGTTGCTCATTCACGTCTACCATGTTGGTCCCTCTCCTAATCCGCTTCCTTAACTACTCCGTAATTCTTCTCCTTTCTCCTGTCGACATCCATACGAGCCTCCAGCGTTTCGGTTTAGTCGCAGCTACATATATATCAGTAGGTGAGTAGGTGGGTCAAGCGCTATTGCCGGCATGATCCTGTCATTGCACGCTTCTAAATCGACTACTTCTAGGAGTTCAGTACTTTGGGCATGTGATTCCCATCGGTTAATGAAACGGTGTTCAATCACACCTATAACAAATTGGTGGTTTTGTAGACGTCGACTTTGGCGCTCCGGTGGATTCGGCTGCCCTCATGTACTAAGAGTTGTTCGGACTGTTGGAATGAGCTGTGATGAAAGAGAGAATTTTCTGTAGAGGTATTTCACGCGAAAAATGGTTGCTAAGGGAGCACCACTGAAGCAATAGGCAGCACCTTGTCTTCGTTTCAAATTCAACGACACTGAAGCTTGTAACTTGAACGAAGGTCCGATGCAGAGTGTTCATAAATTGGATATGACAACACCAATTATGTACGTGACACATGGAAGCAAATGTGGGAAGCGAAAAGGGCAATGAATAAATTGTAATTAACTAGAGAGAAGAAACAGACTTCGTGAAATCGCCGAGCATATCGACACCTTTGTCAGACTCAGAGACCTGTTTCAAGAGCTCTAAGTAGGTGGCAGCACTTGCTGTCACGCCTGCATCTTTGAGCTCTTCCAACAGTTGCAACAACTTTTCATATTCTCCTAGAGAGACGTACTTCTGCAGCACGAGGTCCCACGTTTTCTGCACAGTCCGAAACCAACACTCAGTGGCTAGTAAGTTTCCCATGCACCAAATAATTTCATGAAAGCATACAAGAGTGCGGTAATAAAGGGGAGCTACTAAAGGAAGATCTTAGGCATTAACGCAAGTGCAATGACCAGTTCGAGATCAACCACCAGAGAATACGGTTCTAGCTGTGTTCACCTGAAGTGGCAACACTAAAAGCATGAATAAGAAACCAACATTCTGAACCTCACTTCCTCGAAGAGACTTACTTGGGAGGGTTGTTGCCCGGTGGTCTGCATCAAATGAAGAGCATCCTTGACGACGTCCATCTGTCCCGTTTCTACCAATGCTTCTACTAACCTCTCCATCACGCTATACGACAGGGCGATTCCTGTAGCCTGCCATGATAAATACCAAGTGGATGATTAGTACTGAAACGTGTGTAGCCAAAGCCAACGAGCATAACTGGTGGAGACGAACTGCGAGTGACATTATCTCATGTAGACGAGACGAATCTAGTATATCCCTCTTAAGGAAGGAACGGTCGACAATAATCCAGACGACATACAAAACAGTGAGTTGTGGCCACAATACTCACCTTCAAATAAGGAAAATAAGCTAGCACGACATCAATCCGGTTATGTTCGATACATCCTAACATGATAGTTTGTAGGGATAAATTAGTCGGCGTGATCCCTCGTTGCTTCATTGCTTCCAAAGCTTCAAACATTTCTTCCATCTTGCCATTCTTCACATATCCTTGAAACAGTGCGTTGTAAGTTGCCTGCATGACATCACAAACGTAAACACGTCAAGTAAATTCCTAATAAACTGAGTGAATCCTCTTCAGGATGGGATTGATGTCATCTTTCAAATAATAGCTATCCTATACAACAGCTTGAGATTATTGTATTACAAACTGAAGACCTCTACAACAAGAATAATCGAATTTGATAATGCATGAAAAAGAAATCCCTGACACCACGACAGGTCAATCGCACAAGTTTCTTATAATCCCTCTTCGAGCTCGAAAGATTCGACCTATCATAGAGTGAGCTTAGGAATTGACTACGCCTGGTGCGATCAATCACAAAAAGGAGAAAAAAAAAATAATAATAATAATAATAACAATAATAATAATCATATCACAAAGAAGTGACAATCCCGATCAACACAGCACAGAATGACTGCACACCTCGTTCGGCCGATGTCCCCTGGTTTCCATATCCTCCAAGGTCTTCAATGCTAAATCACCCAAGTCCTCTTTAGCGAAGTACCCAATAAGAATGTTGAATGTACCACGATCTGAACCACAACCCTCAGCATCCATTTTCTTGAGGACGGCTGTGACCCCATCCATGTACCCAGCGTTACAGTACACTTTCAACAAGGTGTTGAACAGCAGAATGTCACATTCTCCATTCTGCCCTTTCTCGATCTGATCCACCAGTTTCAGAACACCGTCCATTTCTCCCAGTTTGGCGTAGGCAGAGATCAATATACTATATCCTACACTACCTGCACATAAACAATCAACAAACTTAGACACGTACCCCACCACCCGTAACTACAAAGTGAGCCTGACAAATCTAAAAGTTGCATGAGCATGTAAACTACCACAAACATATAAAAAATAGTCAAACTTGGTCATGTAATCTGTCACTCGTGTGGCCTGTACCTGGTTTCATTCCCTGTGCAATCATCGAATCAAAAGTTTCTTGTGCTTCCTTGAGCATGTCTGACTTGGCATACGCATCCATCATGGAGCAAAATGAGACCTGAAGACCACGTAATCTTCAAATTCAGACTTGTTTCACAGTTTTTCATGCCCACTGCAACTTCTTCTTTATTACAGCCAGCACACTCACATTCCATAACTTACACAATATGAACGTATCAACTGGTCGTAAAAATCGACAAAAAGGTGAGTTACAAACCATGTCACGCTGCAAACCCTCAGCTTCAATTCTATCAAAAACTTCACGGGCTTTGCTAGGCATTTGACAATTGGCATACGCGTTCATCAGTGAGTTATACACCACCTGCATAAGAGAGCCACACAAACTCTCCAATCAGTGACACTTATAACAACTCATATCATGTTATTAATTCATTAAATATGAACGTCACCACCTATATATAAAAGGATATTAATTGAGAAAGAACAGGAGGTTGCCTACTCTGAAGTGCATTCTGTAAATCTGGTGTTTTTTAATAGTTTTCGACGGATTTATTAAAAAATTCGTGTAGTGTGTGAATCCCTCGATTTAAAAACTTAAACCAGTTATGTTATAACTTTTGTCTGAAAGAATCCAGATTTCTGTGAGTAGGAAAAGACGAAGTACCAAATTTGGGGTAAGCCCAGCCGCTCGAATCGCTTCAAGCACACGTTCAGCTTGTTGATATTTCCCTCTGCTAGCATAAGCGTTGAGTAAAGAACTATAGTGGAAGAGGTTGGGAGTAAATCCAGCATCACACATTTCCTGAAATGTTGCTTGCGCTTCCCTGTCCAAACCTTGTGATGCGCAGACATTCATCATGGCCCCGTAGATAACCGCATCTTGGGTGAGACCGCTAGCTTTGATATCCTCTATAAGGGCTAAAGCCTTGGAGTAACCGTCTCGGGTTTTCGCACACCCAGCAATAACCTGCAAGAGATACCGAAAATTCCTCACATGAACTGGGAATTTGTATCCTCAATTTTGAAAAAAGTGTGGATAATTTAAAATATTAAGCCAAAACACATATCGTTACGCAGTGATTGAAGTACTAAATAAAGGAAAGTACAAATCCCAAACCTACCGTGCTGTACGTTACAGTGTCAGGTTGAAGGCCCTCCTTCTTAAGTTGCTCAAACAGACGGAATGCTTTATCAATTTTACCATTATATATCATAGTACTCAATATCGAGTTGCAAACGAAAACGTTCTTGCGCACTTCGCTGTCTAGAGGCAGTTCGTTAAACACGCGGATTGCCTTCCTTGATTGACCAGACTTGCCAAGTACAGAGAAATAACTTGTGTAGGTTGGAGGTGAAAGTTTATTGTTCTCTTTCATGTACTCGAACACCTGAAAATAGATAAAGAAAGAAAGAGAGAGGGAAAGAAAGACAGTGATCAATGGCAGACAAAAACCGCACATTACGAACTACAATCTCGTGTGCTAGACAAAATGTCCATTGTATTGTTCCGTCATATAGATCACATCATGCTGCTTAAATTCCAAACGAGAAGCAGTTTGTAACATTCTAGAATAGAAAGACACATACCGCGCATGCGTCCCTCCATTGTTTCATTTTCGCAAACCGTCGGAGTACAGAATTCAGGTCCATGATCTCCAAGCTGTCGCCCACCCTGTCGAAGAATCACCATGGTTCAAAAGTGCCCTCACATCCTCCTCGAACAGTATGCTAAGAGATGAATACTACAGATGTTACTTGCAAACTGAAGCCTCTTTCAAACTCAAGCAAGAAGGATGTGCTCTGACTTGCGTGGCAAATTAAACGAGACACAAACGGCGTTAAAGATTCCAACACAGATAAGTATTGCAGGGTGAAATGTAACTCACTCGCGAAGAGTAGCAGCCACATCGTCAGCGGACTGCAGAGTTTCCATGGCAAGCCGACGCTCCGACCACAAAGCTGCTCCAGCCTTACTCTTCCGATTGGGGCTAACCCATATATACTTCTCCTGTAGCCCCTTCCTCTCAGCGTCACTCAAAGCAACCGTAGCAGGAGCCCTACTGTCAGGTTTTTTCCACACATCCCTCGCTGTTCTTGGAGCATACCTCTGGTAATACTTCTTCTCCTGAGAGTCGTCGAATTCATCTCTATAATTTACCCTGGTATTTGACGAACTTAAGCTGTCCCTATCCTGACCTAAAAGCCTATCTTGTGAGGAACCGTCGTACTTGTTCGTATCCTCGGAGAGTTGGGGTTCTTGAGAATTTGACAAAGAAACATTGGGAAGAGCCTCGAGAGCATCAATCTCTCCTCGTGGCAACGCCCTTGTCTTGCGCAGTGGTAGCGACGTGACGGACGACAATGCAAATTCGGACGGGGTTGGTATACGAGTGCCGAGGAAGGTCTGGGGAATTAAATGCAACGCCATGCTTTGAAGCATGGTCCCCCTGTTACTGAACTTTGTTACGAAGGCCTTTTTCCTCCTCCTCCTCCTCCTCCTCCGCCCCTTGACCAGCCTGCAGAGGATTCCATACATTCGTCACTGAACCCTTGATAAACCCTTAAATTTTCTCCGAGTCTGTACAGTGAGACGCTGCCTGAGCAGAACAGATAGAAAATCATCTGAGTGAAACTAAGCCCAGCAGCCATTAGTCCATTCGACTCCACTAAATTACAGTTCCGTGATTGTAAGTTGCAACAGCATTCCGCGCTCACGTTCCAAAAAAGAAAAAAAAAAAAAAAAAAAAAAAGAGAAAGAGAAAGAGAAAGAGAAAGAAAAAAGAGATAAAATCATCCAGTTGATTACTTATATCACTCCCGTGGTACCAAAACAAAGACGAATCAAATACTGAAAATGAAGGACAAATCCAAGAAACTACGTAAAAACGAGAATGCCGAATTCAGCAGAATCACAAATACAAGCCAGACACAGGCAGAGCAAGGCAATCATACACCTAGTAAGCCGAGAAAGCGCACTACTCTCAAAAAGACAAACAACGCCTGGAAAACCTCGACACACACTAAAGATGCATCACATTCTCAACCAATTCTGCTGCATAATCACTGCGGACTGAGTAACAAACAACCTCAAAGATAAAAACACACTCTCAAAACCACAACTAAGAGGAAAAAACCAAAAACCAAAAACCAAAAAATACCAAAAAATACCAAAACAATTCCGGCACAATGTGATAGGTCATGATCAAAACCCACCACAAAAAAACTCCTCTCAAACTCATCCCCCGACTTTTCAATTCCAAAAATAACTCACCAACACGCCCCACTACTTATCCAACACCCACGTCGACGCCATTCTGGCGAACCAATCTTACCGTCGCAAGACGAAGCGACAGAGCTGGAACTCTCAAGCTCCCCTCCCTCCCTCACTCACTCCCTCACTCACTCATTCACTCACTCACTCCTTCACTCACTCACACCCCCTCCTACTCCTCCTCAACGTCAAGCTTCAAATTCTGCGTCGGTGAGGCATGTCGCGATGCATGCACGAGCCTGAAGCATGGTAGGGAAACACCACCACCACCACCAATTGGGAGGGAGGGATGTGCATTCGGAATTGAGAAAGAGTGAGTGAAGTGAAGTGTGGAATTGTGATTGTGAGAGAGTGAGAGAGAGAGCCTTCAATTGCAGCAGCAATTGAGACGACGCCGAACCTGGGCTGGGCTTCGAGCACGGAGAAAGGCGCTCTTTGCTCCACTGAACTGGATAACTCCCCCCCCCTCCCTCGCCTTCGACCGTGAGGTCTTCTAAGACCATGCGTGTTGCTCGACCGTGGGGCTCGGTCTTCGGATTCGCTGTGATGCTCCCCTACTACCGTGGTGCCTTGCCCGTGGAACTGGCTTGCAGGGAGGTGGTTATGCGTTTGGTGTTGCGTAGAATGCTAGAATTGTCTCGCTCATGTAGATTTTATATTAAAAATTGCGTGTTTTTTATTAGATTTTTTATTTTGAATAAATTATTATTATTATTGAGAAGGATGGGTTTTGAGGTGAGAGAATAGGGCAAACAATGAAGAGATAAAGGGATACAAACAAGATAGATGTGCATTAGCCTTTTCATTGGTTGCAATTTTATTTTTGTTTTTAATTCATAATAGTGTTGATTATTTTTTGTGAGATGTTTGTAACTTAGGAGTGATATTTGTGCTTAATGATCTAAAATGGAAGAGTGTCACTTAGAGTTCATAAAAGATCTTCTAAGAATAAGTGATAGTTGATTGTTAGTTGCATATAAGTTTATAAGAGATATTTTTAAGGTGGTTTTTGTTTCTAGATGTTTGAATTCTTGCTAGCATACAATACAACATATAAAAAATCTTACATAAATTTTATGGTGCTTACATAATTAATAGTTTTATAGTTTTATCTAATAGAATATAAAATTATAAAATAGATCAATTATGAATTTAATTATGTTTTAGGTTTCGAAAAAACATAAACAAAATTTTTATATAGAGATTTTATTTTTTAAGTAACTTATGCTTTAATAAAACTATAAAAATTAATTTGTAAATTTTATTGAGACATTTATAACTAACATGAGTTTTAATAATTTTAGGGGTACTTAAAATTTTTAACTTATTAAGTTCTATATGGTTATCAAAATAATTTTAATGTGTATGTCTATTCATTTTACAATTTAATAATCATACCATATGTCAAAGACATGAACTAAAAGATGATGCATAAACTAATGAAATTCGTGTAAAAAAAAAAGTGACAAAATAGAGATAAGGAAGTACATGTATTAAAAGAAATTAGAAAGACTTATTGCCAAAAGACAAGAAAACTTGAGACTCTTGAAACTAGACTAAAAGCAAGAAAGGAGTTGACAAGACTGAAGATGGCTTTACTCTTGTCTCTATATTTACTATTTAATTAGGGGCTATGTGGCGATATTCTATAGGACCTCCAATATGTGTTGACTTTATAAAACACATGCCTTGACTTACAAGGCAAGTTTTTCTACATGTGAGCTACATAGTTAGCTTGGTCTTTAAGCTAACAAAATGTGAGGTACATGGCCAACTTGTTGACCATGTTTCTAATTCAAAAAGTCAATTAAAGACACCTATAAAGACAAAGTAGTATCTATAAAGCTTCTAGGAAGCTTCTATAGAAGATATTATAGAATTAACTTGCATTTACTTACTTCTACTTACTTCTACTTATTTATACAAATAATTATTGGTTGACATGTGTATGTCCGTGACATTATTCCTTCTTCTTGGGACGAGTTCCATAAGGAGTAGTCATCATATGTCGAAAAAATCTATAATAAGATAAATTATATTTACTACATACTCAGATCTTTGTTCTTTTTAAAGATGGTTGAAAAGGTCTCTCAACCATTGATAGTATCCCATATCAAAGCGAAAAGACCATCCTATTATCTGATGGCTGTTGAGGCCTTCATAACTTCCTTCAAATAAAATATTTGGAACATCATTAGGAGTTGTTCCTACCTCTAATAAAATTATCAAACATCGGGAGTCTCTTCCAAGGTGTCAAGGACAAGAACTCGATGAAAAAATAATTCAAACAAGTGAACCTTCACTCAAAAAGAGGTAACAAAATATATATAAATAAGTATATATATTGAAAAAGAAACTGGAATGGCTATTGCCAAAAGACAAGAAAACTAGAGACCCTTCAAACTAGACTAGAAGCAAGAAAGAAATTGACAAGAGTGAAGAAGCCTTCACTCTTGTCTCTATATATACTATCTAACTAGGGGCTACGTGGCGACGTTCTATAGGACCTCCAATATGTGTTGACTTTGTAGGACACATGCCTTGACTTACAAGGCAAGTTCTTCTACGTGTGGGCCACATAGTTAGTTTGATCTTCAAGCTAACAACATGTGTGGCACATGGCCAACTTGTTGACCACGTTTCTAATCCAAAAAGTCAATTAAAGACACCTATGAAGTCAAAGTAGCGTCTATGAAGCATCTAGGAAGCTTCTAAATTAAATACTATAGAATTAACTTACTTTTATCTACTTTTATTTACTTCTACCTATTTGTATATGTAATTACTAGCTTACATGATTATGTCCGTGACATTACCCCTCCTTCTAGGGACGAGTTCCACGAGGAGCGATCATCATATGTTGAGAAAATTTATGATGCGACGAATTGTATTCGCCACATACTCTAATCTTTGTTCTCTTCGAAGATGATTGATACGGCCTCTCAACCATTGGTAGTGTCCTATACCAGGGCGGGAAGACCACCCAATTATTTGATCATTGTTGAGGCCTTCGTAACTTCCTTCGAATAAAATATTTGGAATACCATCAGGAGTTGTTCCTATCTCTAGCACAATCACCAAACATCGGGAGTCCCTTCCCAAATCGTGATACCAAACGCATTGTATCTCGCCATCTATTTGAGGAAGAACATGTCGTTTTTGAAGATCTTCATCTCTATTGCATCGTCTTGAAGGTTGTGACAATCGTAATGTCTCGTCCGGCAGGTCAGCAAATGAAGGCTCTTGAGTTGAATCCGCTGGTTGTTGGTTCTCCATCTCTTGAGCGTCACTACTACAAAGAAGCTACGAACAAGAATTGAAAGTAGAATGTTATCTTGCCTAGATGTTGTTTCTTTTATAAAGAAGATTTTCATCTTGATTTTGATGGATGTCGTCGATGAAAAGCCTCCATTGCCTTTATTGCATTTGCAAGATTCTTTATTGGCTCCCATGTGCATTCACTAATATCATATCTGTGCCAATAGACAAGATTTATTTCGGCGCCGCCTTGAATCTAAGACTTCTTCTACTTCAAATTCTTCATTATTGTCCACTTCTATAGGAGGAGATGGAGCTTGTTGTCTTCTTGGTATGTCCACTGTCTTGTATGATTCAAGAAGAGACACGTGGAATACCGAATGGATTTTTATTAACTCCGGTAGATGTAAACGATATGCAACTGGATTGATTTGTATAGAAATAGAAAATGGTCGCAGCCTTCGATAGTCCAATTTGTCACAAGGACGAGTGGTCTTGATATTGCGACAAAGTAGCCATACCTTATTACTTAAGACGAATGATGGTTGTACCTTTCGATAGACATCCGCATTGACTTTTTGTTGTTCTTGAGCCTCTTTTAACTGCGCCTTCATCGTTGCATATAGCTTTGATAAATGAATTGCCAAATCTTTTGCTGCAGGATTATCAACTTTTGAAAAGTCAAAAGTATTAAGTCATGGATGATAACCATAATTAGCAAAGAAAGGAGTTTGTTTTGTAGAAGAATGTACCGTGTTATTGTAAGCAAACTCTGCCAATGGCAAAAGAGTTGTTCAATCATCTTGTTGATAATTAATGGTACATCTTAAATATTGCTCCAAAACTTGATTAACACGCTCCGTTTGTCCATCAGTTTGAGGATAGAATGCTGAAGATAGTTTTATATCCACTTTAAGAATCTTGAAAAGAATCCGCCAAAATCTTGATATAAATTGAGTTCCCCTATCTGATATAATATCCTTGGGTAATCCATGATAGCGATAGATATTGTCAAGAAAAGGCTTAGCTATTTCTTCACCTGTGATAGATTTTGTACATAGTACAAAATATGCCATCTTGGTAAAACGATCTACTATCACGAATATAGAGTCATAAGAACCTGAGATTGGAAGATCCATGATGAAGTCCATAGGAACAGAAGACCATGGTTGTTCTGGAATGGGTAATGGCTGAAGAAGTTCAAAAAGTCGATGATGAGGAGTTTTTGATCTTGAGCAAACATCACATGATTGTACAAAGTCTTTAACTGCCTTCTACATTTGAGGCCACCAAAAATCCCTAGATATCAACTCCAAAGTCTTATTATATCCAAAATATCCTACTGTTGAGAAGTCGTGACGAGCTTGAAGAACACGTAAACGTGCTTCTCCTTCTGGAACATATAAGCATCCTTCGAAATAGAGTAGGTTGTTCTTGAATTCAAATTTAGAGGGATCATGAGATTTAGAAGAATTATTCTTGATATCATGAACAAAAGGGTCTAAAGACATACTTAACTGGACTTGCTTAAGAAAAGTTAAATCAACAGTCAATGTTGATTTTATTGCTCAAAGATGAAATTGCTCCGGCTTCAAGAGAACCGTTCTTTGTTGCTCAAAAGCTACATCTCTTTCTTTTGGTAGAAGATAAGAACGTCTAGACAAGGCATTGGACAAACCTTGTTGTTTTCCTGGCCGATAAGTGATGATGAACTCGAATCTTGATAAAGACATGCTCTAATGAGCTTAGCGACGATTTAATACGCGTGCTGACATAAAATATTCAAGGTTCTTGTGATCCTTATACACGGTGACAGGACTGAAAGCGCCTTCTAGATAATGACGCCATTCTTGAAAAGAATCCACAATTGCAAGAAGTTCTTTGTTGTGGATCTCATAATTGATTTCTGCTGCTGAGAATTTTCTTGAATGAAAGGCTACTGGATGAAGTTTGTCATCTGTTCCTATTTGTGATAAAATCGCACCTACAACAAAGTCCGATGCATCTGTTTCTATAAAGAATGCTTAGGAAAAATCAACACGGTACAAGATTGGTGTAGAAACAAACGCTGTCTTTAAAGATTCAAAAGCAACTTTCACTTCTTGATTCCATTGGAGTTTGTCTTTACAAGTCAAACGTGTAAGTGGAGCTGCAACTCGAGA